CTCTGAGAACCCCATTAATAATACTTAAAATAAATTCATGCTTGTTCCGAAAAAAGACGGACTCTCCACGACCCACAAAACAATTGTTAAGGAGCTTAACCATCACGACATTGAATCATAAAAAAATGAAAAAAACGAGCATTTCTTTGCAACACCTACTGATCATTAAGACAAAAAAAACAAAATAAAAGGGTTTTATTGTTTGTTTTTGTTTCTTTATCAACGACTTCAAGTTTTGAGATAAATAATCCATAAACAAAATAATACAAACTAAAGCCGTAGATAATAATAATAGTATGAAAGAAGTTCAGTATGTCAAACCAGGATGATATTGATACAACTGGATGGGGCACGGCAGGGTCAAAAATCAAAATATGCCCCAAATCATAGTACATATTTGCCTACTACATAGTAGCTGTATAGCAAATTTCATAATGATGCATGCAAAAATGGTATTGGGAAAAAATGTTAAAATTAAAATAGATGCATCTGATTGCCAAGCTCTTCTACAGGGATGAGGAGACGAAGAGACATTTGGTAACTATTTATCATATATCATGTTACTGTAACATCTCATTCTTGTATGCTGAAATTAAATAGAAAAAAGTAAACAAATGTTTACACCCTTGTGTAAATATCTGATACCGCTATGAGATATATGACAGTTACATACACCTGCAGACTGCAATCAGTCGAGATGTCCATCTTCAGTTGGCACAGGTGTATTCCCCAGGAGTTGTCTCCCCTTCCCCATATCAGCACATATGCAGTAAATGGAAATTAATCCACTGTATAACCCCAAGCTAAGTATTGTATTGCATATCTGGTTAAAAACCTGATACAACCCTATGACATTAACCCAGATGAGCTGAGGTATATGGACAAGACTTCCAAAAGCCATCCCAAGACCTCCATGAGCCAAAATGGCTGAGTGCCTTGAAGCAGGAACTAGCTGATCTAAAAGTGATGTTTTATTTGTCCCCTTGGTATATATGTGATTATTTCTGGTATGTTTGTTTGTTTGTTTGTTGTTAAATGCCACATTCAGCATTACAGCTATATGACAGAGGTCTGTAAATAATCGCGTCTGGACCAGACAATCCGGTGATTGATATCATGAGCATCAATCCACGCAATTGGGATACGATGACATGCATCAACCAAGTCAGCGAGCTTGACCACCTGATCCCATTAGTCGCCTCTAACGACAAGCATAGACGCCTTTTTCTGGTATGTTTTTTTACCATTATTTAAGACAATCTCAGGCTAAGCAGTAGACTGAAACCCTGGTTACTGACGAGATGGATCAGTCGAACACCGAAATTTGGACCAAAGTCTGCCAAATGTCATTAAAAATTCCAAAATTGGAATTAAAAAGCTCTCAGTTAATAATATAGTTATAACCTGTGTAATGACTCTGTAGAGGGGACTGATAGTGGAAGGGGCTTTGATGGATACTTTTGTATTGTGGTACTCAATGTAGTGTTAAAATACCTTTAAATTCAAGAAAATAAGAACTTTAAAAAAAACCTTTTTTGAAAATAAATATTATGTTAATCAATTTGTCTGCCAATGAAATGTAGTTTGGGTTCCTGTGGACGCAAGGCACTTTCATGCCTGAGTTAGTGAGGGTGGTTTAACAATGCTTCGAACACATTCCAGTTACATCAGTTCCATGTCAAGCCCGATGTGATTTGTTTAGGACTTTGGATTTCATTGGGAGTCAGTTTCTTATTACACATTATCAATATTGTGGGCTACAAAACAGTCATACAATATATTTTCATGATAACAATGTCTGTCCACTGTTGAATCCAATGCACACAAACACAAACAAAATTCATAAGTACTATCATTTTATTTCACTACCAAATTAACAAAAAATACACTGTATATTAATCAGTGATGCTGAAAGAAATCATTTTCTTGCAATTTGCATTCCCAGCAAGTTTCTACACTGTCGCAATCTACAATATATATTGTCTACAATGGACAGTGATGTCAATATCTATCAATATAAAACAACTACCTCGACAACCCAAATGACTAAGTACTGCTCAACCATTTCAGTCATCTTAACTCTTTTCCGATCCCCGCTCATTTACTGGAGAAAGTATTCATTAAGTAGTGTTACTCTGACATTACTTTAAAATTATGGCAATATTTCTACCATAGACATTAGGACACACAGCGAGTGCTACAATTCTTAGCATCTCGACTCCAATTCACAAAATCAACTGAAAATGAAATTTGAACTTTCATGTAAATAATCTACATCATTATATATATTGGACATAATTTTGGAATCTTTAGATCCACACAAGCTTACAATCCATGTTAATAAATGCAACTGGGACTCTATGAGGAATAACAGACATCAGCGCCATCAGTACCCAAGACCTTCAAACCATCTACCGTAACTGAAAATATCAGTTCCCTCTATACACCCACCTCAATAGATATTACTGTTGCTAGGCAATGAGAAACCAGGGATGAGTCGAACAATTACTGTATGTATCACTGCATGTATATACAACATCTTGAAGCTGTGAACAACCACTAGAGGCATGGTGGTATGCACCACTTGACAATGTTCTGGATAATCCTAGCACTTTGTATTGATACAGTAAACCGATTCCTTCCAACCTGGACTATGGTTTTATGCTAGTTTTACCAATATCCCAACAGGAGACACCATAAATGGGCTTCACACATTGTTCCCAGGTCAGTGGTCTTGCAGTTTTCACAACTAAAATAAAATGTATCTCCAATACATTTGACTTGTTATCTATAGTAATATGAACAGATCAGGTGTTCTTTAACTTCTTTTGAGAAGCATACAATAGACGGAACTGTTCTCTCTCTTCTTTGACTTGGCTGGGTCTGTAGTCAGTCCTACTGATGCCAACTCAGCTTCAGCAGACAAATCATGTCCATTAAACCACTGCTCATAGGTGCTAGTTATTAATCATATATAAGGCCACACTTTTTAAACTTTATGCTTCACAGATTTACTCCAGCTATTCCACATAAGGTCGGTCAAAATAAAAATGAAAAGAAATAGCAATGTCATTTATTTATTTATTTATTTATTTATTTATTTATTTATTTATTTATTTATTTATTTATTTATTTATTTATTTATTTATTTATTTATTTATTTATTTGAAAATCATTCATCTGTGGAAGAACATGGTTTTATTGATGGACTATTTTAGTAGCGAAAGACATAATAAAATAATTCTTTGTATATTTAATGATTTCTTCTCCGGCTGCTTTTTGGTAGTGGTGGCAGGCCCGTGAAACGAAAAATAAAAACTGTGTGGCCTGACAACAACATATATTTAGTCTCCTGCCAAAAGTAAATATTTGTGTTAAGAAAACTGTTAGTTTCCCAATCTGATCATAATCGGAGTAATGTGTCACCATGACCTTTCAACCTTGATACAAACTGTATCTTAACAACTGATTCATGCCCCACCGCTGACATCTTCCCGAGGCAAGAGAGTTATGTGACTTTAAAAGCCCAGTTTCCACCCTTGCCAAACTTGGCTGGAATTCCAGGGCTCCATCATAGCGCCACCAGTGGTTATTATGAGTTATGTCCCTTCTAAGCCTCCTATGGACCAATCAGATTCCATCACTTGCATTTGTTTCAAACAAAACGGTGGCGCCCAGTCAAGACGATCTGATTGATAATCAAGATCTATGTTGTGATAAAACGGGTCTTACATCGCAAAGTGCATCAAATCATTTGGGCACCTTTATTAAAAACATGAAAAGGTTTGGAAAATATCTGCTGACAACGAGTTGGCGGTGCACATTCTTTGCAAATACTGCAATCGACCGAAATCTGTGGGACAGTTTACGAACCGGATTTGATTTCGTTGCGCGATTTTGATTTGACTATGCATAGACTCTGAGTCCTGTCAAAATGTAAGTCCATAATACCAGCCTAGTTCGGCAAGGGTGGAAACTGGACTTTTATGTCAGTTGACGCTCTTGCCTCGGGAAGATGCGCCTCTGAATAGAGTGAGTGGGAAGTACATGTAGTATATAGACACTTATTCACCGACTTGTGATCAGGTATGCACAGACACTCACTGATCAAACCTTACAAGTTGCTTTATAATAGCACACAACATATTTGCATTGTTTCACATTATTACTTTCTGACAATAAACACAAGCATCACGGATACTAAACGTGTATTACACAAAATATTCTGGATTATGAAAATAGAAACTTGTTGCAACATATACACAGTGACAATAAATTAATCAATGATTATTACAATGAAAAGACACGAAATAAAATCATTTATGCCTAAAAGTGAACAATTTACCATCTCTGCACACACAAACAACCAATATTGGTGATCATTTTTGTATCAAAATGCTTGGATCACTGATAACAATCAAATGTTCAGAAAAATGATACTTAAAAATGTGTTAAATTAATTGTTTAAAAATGATTATCTTGAATTATGTCAAAATATTTTATACACACTCTTACTTCAGACACTATCCAAAAGTAAATATAGCATTACTACATTGAAAATAGGGCCCCAACATGTTTTGAATTACACATGTAAGATAAGACACAGCAACAATCTCATTAAAATCAGATCCTAGTTTTCGCTACGGTCAGAACGACCTTTCGCTAACTTTGACTGATCAATGAAATGACTGACAAGAAATCGACATTAGCCAATCAGAAGGCAACTTCTCAAGCTTTACGACACTATGTTCAAACTGGCGACTACGCTTCGAAACATATTTTGATGTATTCTCGATTAAAGTTTTTAAAACTGATGAAAAGAAAGTTCTGGAATGGCTTATAGATGGCCTAGATTGTATGGATATAATCATTGGATATAATCATAAAACTGTCAATCGGAATACCCTCTGTTAAATATTTCGAGGCTGCATGATTAGAAAACACATTCCGTCTGTCACTTTCATGATCTGGTAAGCGACGCTCTGATTGGTTGTATGAAAGGTCGTTCTGACATGACCCGTAATGGGATGTCCTCAGATCTTTGTTTAGCAATAGCGAGAACTAAAATCTGATTTTAATGAGATTGGACACAGCAATTTCCTATTATTATCATTATTATTATTCAAAAGAATAATCAGAAGCTTAGTACAGAACAAACAATGTGGAATCAGTTTTCGATAACTGGCCACAATTACAAAAATTGTATTGTCTCTGGGTAAATAACAATCAAGATGGTACTATGTACTGGTACACCAGAAATGGGCTTCACACATTGTACCCATGTCGGGAATCGAACCCAGGTCTTTGCTGGACGAGTGAACGCTTTAACCACTAGGCTACCCGACCGCCCTTACGTTATGGCTCAGTTGATTGACTTGTATTTCACTGAAAAATTTGAACTGAACTTTCCCCCAAAATTAAACTTCTAAGGGCATTAAGTTTGGAATCCTGAATAAATCCGTCATAAGTAGGAACGCCCTATTTTCTCTATGAAGAGATTTTGACAGAAATCCCCAGAAAGGCAGGGATCAACTGGGTATAGCCATCCAAGGTTTCACCCAACATCAAGTACAGTATTCAAGTACGAGTCCAACTTTACTACCCGGGTACCTAAACCTCTATTACCCTACCCTACCCCACCTAGGAACCTGCTGTTGGTCTTAAGAGATGTTTACCAAAAGTCTGATTGGGAATAGTTTGACTGCAACCTTGGTAACATGTATTTAGATACATATATAAAATGATCTGGCCATGCATACACTGAAGTTGACTGAAGCTTTACCTTTATTCAAACTGTATGTACAAAAGTCCGAAGGAAAGTGAACATTAGCGACTTGTAGTGTAACCATAGAGTTCTAGATAATTTTTGTTATTAAACAATATATCACGTGACTAACCAGGTGTCTGGGTAGTCCTGAGGGTACCTGGGTCCTTCTCAGTACCCACCCAACCCAAGTACCCAAGTAACCCATCCCAGCTCAAGTATTCAACAATGAAATTATTTCTCAAACTACAATTCACATGTAATCTCAAAAAGATTTCACACTATTTATCAACAAAATGTTAAACGGTTTCTGGTAGTAAAGTCCAAGACAGGTGAGGTAGCAGTCAACACTACATTGCTCGCTTAGTAAAGGCGTGTAGGTAGGCAAACATAGCATCGATTGTTCAAACCAACTGTTAAAGAGGGTAAGAGTGGTATTCTCCATGTAATATGATATTCAGCTATAAACAAGTTGTACAAAGTTGTAAAAAACAACATCAAAACATCACTGTAGCTCCCTCGTACATGATTTCACATGTTTACAAACGGCCTCACACATACTTGTTTAACAAGTTTTCAAGTTTGTATTTTGCTATCATAAAATTGAAAATATTTATTGTCAAAGGGTTCATTTTAACCCAGAGAGGTAAGTACATGTACCAGGAACCACACAATTCTGCTGGTAATAGAATCCAAGTTTTAAAATCTCACAAACAATTTAAAAAAAAATTGATGCAACTAAAGACGTACTAAAGTTCTTCTGTACATGATTCCAAACAGTGAAATCCTGGGTAAACGTTTACAACACCAAACTTCAGTCTCAACAAACTGACACACAAAAAAACTAATAGAAACACAAACTCGTCCACACCACATTCAACTGTTCTCCAATGTAACAAAACTCAGATGGAATGATGCCCTATACTGTATCAAATAAATACTTACAAAAAAATACACCAAAACATAACGGTAGAGCAAGTGTTTTCAGCCCATCAAGTAGATATACGGCCGTAAATACGTAGAGCATTTATATATATAACAAAACTTTAACATAATCAACATTGTACAACATTTTCAAACAAAAAACATACAACTTATCAACGTGAAATTGCTTTGGTATAAAATGCATAATTTTTCTTTAATGCCACGTAAAAAAGTACTCTTACAATATCCAGGACAATACCAATACATTCACCTTCAAAATAGATACTTCTTCTTCAGCAGGCACTTTCCGTAGTCCACACAGTTACATCAAACACATGAACCAACAATTGGTGTACGTTGCATCAAACATGAACCTGATTTGTATGAAAACTCTTTCCCTCAATGATATGTCTCAGACTGATGCCTCATTAGGAGTTGTCTCCCCTTCCTCAAAGACCACACCCTCATTCACTCACCTCACTCAAAGTAACATCACTAATTTTAATGCCTTAACTGAAACATTTCACTTTTACAAACCATTTCCTGACCAGCTGTTGAAAACTATCTGCTCCGTTCTCCCTACGAGCTCTTTTTGGAGAAACATCTTCTATGACATTATGGGTGTGCCCTTCCCACACTCAGTGAGACCTTCCTAACAAAACGATGATTTAACCCCAGCGGGTATTTCTGACTTTTCAGCAGGGACAACCGGCTTACATAACCCATAACTACAACTACCTACTGAAGCCTGGCCTTACTTTGACAACAATGTCATAACACAATTACTGGGCCAATCATAGCGCTATGCATAAACGCCTAAACACAATTACTGGGCCAATCATAGTGCCATGCATGAACGCCTAAACACAATTACTGGGCCAATCATAGCGCCATGCAATAAACGCCTAAACACGATTCTTTCCATCTCAATTTGAGTTCAAACAAGTCATCCCCAACATTTTCTTTTCAAATGCTATACGTCCATTTCTGTGTTATATGCACGTAGACACTAAATCAGGACAGAGTTTACTCTATTTTGGTGCGATATTATGGCAGTAGTAAGGAAGTTGAGTGAATCTGTTGTCATGACAACGGCAGGTATGTGTTGTTCGGCTTGAGTTCTCTCATGAGGCTGTGCTGGCCGTCGCAGGGGCAGGTGTTGACGTGGGAGAGGATGGACCCACGCAGTGTCTGCATCTCTTCACTCAGCTTGGACAGCTTCTCTCGGAGAAGCATGTTGTATTCCTCCAGCTGTTCCAGTTGCTGAAACAACACAAGCACCTCCTAAACAGTGTCTGTCAATAGGGAGTGATCTGTTAAACAGTGTCTGTCAATAGGGAGTGATCTGTTAAACCTTGTCTGTCAATAGGGAGTGATCTGTTAAACAGTGTCTGTCCATAGGGAGTGATCCGTTAAACAGTGTCTGTCAATAGGGATTGATCTGTTAAACAGTGTCTGTCAATAGGAAGTGATCTGTTAAACAGTGTCTGTCAATAGGGAGTGATCTGTAAACCTTGTCGGTCAATAGGGAGTGATCCATTAAACAGTGTCTGTCAATAGGGAGTGATCCGTTAAACAGTGTCTTTCAATTGTGTAGGGAGTGATCCCCTAAACAGTGTCTGTCAATCTGTTAAACAGTGTCTGTCAATAGCGTAGGGAGTGATCCGTTAAACAGTGTCTGTCAATAGGGAGTGATCCGTGAAACAGTGTCTGTCAATAGCGTAGGGAGTGATCCGTTAAACAGTGTCTGTCAATAGCGTAGGGAGTGATCCGTTAAACAGTGTCTGTCAATAGGGAGTGATCCGTGAAACAGTGTCTGTCAATAGCGTAGGGAGTGATCCGTTAAACAGTGTCTGTCAATAGCGTAGGGAGTGATCCGTTAAACAGTGTCTGTCAATAGGGAGTGATCCGTGAAACAGTTACTGTCAATAGCGTAGGGAGTGATCCGTTAAACAGTGACAGTCAATAGTGTAGGGAGCATAACTATTGAGCAGTGTCTGGTCAACTGTAAGAAACGTAACCGTCTAACTTTGAGTGGTAAGAGTGTGTAGTGAATAATGTACAGCACAGGCAAACTTTCTGTCCAGTATTGGTAAACGCACATTGTAAGCAACAACAAAATTTATAAAATGTCAATTGTATTTTATAAGCTATGAATTGAACCTAGAGAACATTTAAACAATCAGTATTCAGAACAGTTTCAAGGATGTCAAACTAATGTACTTACGCAAATCAGAGTCCAGTTTTTTTCTTGTCGCTTCTGCCGAAAACGTCTGGCTGCAATTCTATTTTGTTCTTTCCTTTTTTCAACCTTTTTAAGTTCTTCTGGTGTAAGCTGTGCAAAGAAGACCGGCTTATATTCATTCGCCGCACGGCGGGGCTCCAGCACTCTCGGCTAGAGGGTTAAATGGGACTACGGAACACCCACACACTAGTCTGTCTCTACTTTCAGGAGTGGACCAGCACAAACTGGATCCTATATCACGGTTCATATCATCAACTCAGACAACATCATCCTAAACGTTTCATTTGAGAGTATCTATCTAATAAACATGATTAATAGTCTCAGAAAGGAATAATAGTCCTGGAGGGGGACCTTTCAATATCAACATATCATGAGTGAGTGAGTTGTGTTTAATGCCGCTTTTAACAGTAAACAGGAAAGCCGGAAGTGATGCAGGTCTCAGACGTTTACCACTTCGATGAATCCCAGGAGCACAGCTATGGTGCTGATAAACCTAGAAACATGATTGGGACAAACCCGGGATTCAAACCCACAATCATAGGTTTCGCAAGGGACGCAACTCTGCACAGTGAATTGCTGCGCCTTAAACGACTGGGCCACCCGTGCCTTTCAGTATTAGACAATTAAATATTGCAGATAACATTTTTCTGATAAAGTGATATAGTAGCATGGCCCTGAACATGGAAATTTTGTTTTTGATTGTTGGACATCTTTCTTTCATTTGTCTGGGAAGTCAATGTATAACTTTGTTTGTTGTTTAACATAGCACTCAACAATATTCCCATCTTCCTAAGGCAAGGGAGTTAACTGACTGTAAAAGTCCAGTTTCCACCCTTGCCAAACTAGGCTGGAATTATAGAGTTATATTTTGGCTGAACTAACAAGTCTATGCATAGTACAATCAAAATCCCATAATGAAATTGACACCTGGTTCATCAACACCATGGATTTCAACGTGCAGATTTCGGTCGACTGTTGGATTTGCAAAGGATGTGTACCGTCAATTGGGCATCGACAGAAATTTACCAAATATTTTGATGTTTTTAGTCAAAGTGTTCATGTGATTTGATACACTTCGCGAGGTAAGACCCGTTTTATTACAATATATAGCTTGATCACAGATCAGATCTTCTTGACTGGGTGCCATTTTGTTTAAAGAAATGCAAGTGAAATGAGAGGTGGCATCTGAATGGTCAATAGGAGGGACAGGAGGGACATAGAAGGGACATAACTCATAATAACCACTGGTGGCGCTATGACCGAGCCCAGAACTTTCAGCCTAGTTCAGCAAGGGTGTAAACTGGACATTTATAGTCAGTTAACACCCTTGCCTTGGGAAGGTACAATATCCCATATATTGCCTGTATATAATTGAGTCTGGATCAGACAATCCAGTGATTAACATCATAAGCATTGATCTACGCAAATGGGATATCATGACATGCATCAACCAAGTAAGCGAGCCTGACCACCCAATTCCTTTTAGTCGCCTTTTATGACAAGCATGGGATGCTGAAGACCTATTCTAACCCGGATCTTCTCAGGTCCATTGCACAACTGATAGGCTTCTAGCATCAATCAGTAATCTGTGGTCTGTTAGTTACTGCGATGTTACTTGGATGTCAAATATATTATTTCCCTGTGTCAGCTGTTATCTCTTCTCCCATTTTCCATCCTCAATGTAACACTGTTGTTACTATCAACTAATAACTCCAGTTTGTCCTATCCAACTTTTGCCAGTTGTATGTACAGTAACAATAAATACCACAGCACAGGGATGACTGGGTTTGCGATATCTGACTGAAAACACTTCCATCCAAAAGCTTACAACAAACTAAAATATGAAATGGGGGAAAACATCTTCACTTGAGTATTGTTTTTTGCCACTGTTAGCAATATTCCAGCAAACTGATGGCAGGAGGCACCAGAATGGTTTCACCTATGGTACATATGCTGGGATTCAAACCAGGTCTTCAGTGGAGTAAGTCAACACTTAAACCACCAGCCTACCTGCCCGTCATTTACTTTCAAATGTATCAATGCATTGGCATCTTCTGCAGCCACATCCACAGCTGAGATTCTAAACTATTTACAACCATATAGAAACTATAGTGAGTGAGTGAGTTTGGTTTTACGCCGCTGTTAGCAATATTCCAGCAATATCACGGCGGGGGACACCAGAAATGGGCTTCACACATTGTACCCATGTCGGGATTCGAACCCGGGTCTTCGGCGTGACGAGCGAATGCTTTAACCACTAGACTACCCGACCGCCCCTATAGAAACTATATACACAGCCAATAACCAATGGCTATTATGAACACTACATGTCCGTATATCCCTAACTTCTCTATCAATCCCATGCACCTTTAGTAGACAAGTTGGTATTGACACTGTGTCTAGAACACTAGAGGCTATTGGGGTATTGGGGGACTAAAGTACTCACGGAACTGAAAAAAACCTGTTTTTTCGACCTCAGATCTTAAATAAATGCAGATAATATACAAAATATGTAAATATTCAAACAACTAAATTAGTACTAATTGGGCCAAATACAGCGTATCAAATGTTTTTATGCCTTTTTACACGTAAAAGTGTGTAAAAATGTGAATAAAACAGACTATTGTGAAACAGGGCATAACCAGGTGTAAGTAGATCAAGGTGACCTATGACACCTTGACGACAGGTGTGACACCTTGACGACAGGTGAGAACAGGTGCATAATGCCTATACTCTGTTTCTGCTATGTCAATTTGGACTTAGTTTTATTTTTGAATGTTGAAAGTGCCGACAAATTACCTCCTGTAAAGTACATTTTGTATTCTTCACTGAGATCAAACTAGCAAATCCAGACTAGTACTTTTCGAGTTGTTTTGTTATTTCATATTTACAGCTACGTAACATTTTGTGTCGATTTTTAAATTGAGAAAACAGTTTTTTTTCATTTCCGTGAGTACTTTAGTGCAGTACTATTGCAAAACTACTGCAATATTATTGCAGAACTATTTTAGTGCTATTGCAGTAGTACATCAGAACTATTGTAGAACTATTGCAGTACTATTGTAGAACTATTTCAGAGGCTGGGGAAATAAAAGAAATGATAAAACAGAATTTCTTGTCTTATCGCATTCATTGATACGATCCATAGTGAGTACCTCATCAGTGATAAATGCTGACATTTTAACTACCGGGTAGTCATCAATACTATTACAATCTAGCCATGGGCATAGTTAAATCACTGCATCCTTAATTCAAGTACACCAAGTGCAAAACATTGCCAGAACAATGATATTGCAATAGTTAAAAGCTCCCAAACAATAATCCACATTCCTTACCTCATTTTTCTCGGGTGGACTAAAGTCAACTTTAAGTTCCCCTTTCCCTTCCGCCACTCTCCGAGACTGGATGATGTACTTGAGCTCCTCTTTAATGATGTCGCTGGGGCCGCCAGACTGCAACGTGGCCAGCGTGGCGACTACCAGTTTCTCGTCCTGCACCAGGTTCTTCATGTTGATGAGTTTGGTGGAGTTCTGGAGCCGGTCGTCCTGCACGTAGTTCATCCTGGCGGAGGACGTTCCACCCTGAGACACGAGGACCTGGTCAGGGCATGTCACGGGGCTGATAATAGACACGTGGACATTAGATGGCGCCGACACAGACGTCATCATCTACTACACGCAACCCTGCAACAGACAGACAAACATTCAGCTGGTGAGTGAGTGAGTGAGTGAGTCGAACAAAGAGAAGTTGGTGGGTAGGTGAGTGAGATGGTGGGTGGGTGGGTGAGTGAGTGAGTGAGTGAGGTGAACGAACAGAAGTTGGTGGGTAGGTGAGTGAGAGGGTGGGTGAGTGAGTGAGTGAGGTGAACGAAGAGAAGTTGGTGGGTAGGTGAGTGAGAGGGTGGGTGGGTGAGTGAGTGAGTGAGTGAGTGAGGTGAATGAAGAGAAGTTGGTGAGTGAGTGAGTGAGTGAGTGAGTGAGGTGAATGAAGAGAAGTTGGTAGGTAGGTGAGTGAGAGGGTGGGTGGGTGAGTGAGTGAGTGAGTGAGTGAGTGAGTGAGTGAGTGAGTGAGTGAGTGAGTGAGTGAGTGAGTGAGGTGAACAAAGAGAAGTTGGTGGGTAGGTGAGTGAATGAGGTGAACGAAGAGAAGTTGGTGGGTAAGTGAGTGAGTGAGTGAGTGAGTGAGGTGAACGAAGAGAAGTTGGTGGGTAGGTGAGTGAGAGGGTGGGTGGGTGGGTGAGTGAGTGAGTGAGGTGAACGAAGAGAAGTTGGTGGGTAGGTGAGTGAGAGGGTGGGTGGGTGGGTGAGTGAGTGAGGTGAACGAAGAGAAGTTGGTGAGTGAGAGGGTGGGTGAGTGAGTGAGTGAGTGAGTGAGTGAGTGAGTGAGTGAGTGAGTGAGAGTGAGGTGAACGAAGAGAAGTTGGTGGGTGAGTGAGTGAGTGAGTGAGTGAGTGAGGTGAATGAAGAGAAGTTGGTGAGTGAGTGAGTGAGTGAGTGAGAGGTGAACGAAGAGAAGTTGGTGGGTAGGTGAGTGAGTGAGTGAGTGAGTGAGTGAGGTGAACGAAGAGAAGTTGGTGGGTAGGTGAGTGAGAGGGTGGATGGGTGGGTGAGTGAGTGAGTGAGTGAGGTGAACGAAGAGAAGTTGGTGAGTGAGTGGGTGAGTGAGTGAGTGAGGTGAACAAAGAGAAGTTGGTGGGTAGGTGAGTGAGTGAGTGAGTGAGGTGAACGAAGAGAAGTTGGTGGGTAAGTGAGTGAGTGAGTGAGTGAGTGAGTGAGGTGAACGAAGAGAAGTTGGTGAGTGAGAGGGTTGGTGGGTGAGTGAGTGAGTGAGTGAGAGTGAGTGAGTGAGGTACATGAACAAAGAGAAGTTGGTGGGTAGGTGAGTGAGTGAGTGAGTGAGGTGAACGAAGAGAAGTTGGTGGGTAGGTGAGTGAGAGGGTGGGTGGGTGGGTGAGTGAGTGAGGTGAACGAAGAGAAGTTGGTGAGTGAGAGGGTGGGTGAGTGAGTGAGTGAGTGAGTGAGTGAGTGAGTGAGTGAGTGAGTGAGTGAGAGTGAGGTGAACGAAGAGAAGTTGGTGGGTGAGTGAGTGAGTGAGTGAGTGAGGTGAATGAAGAGAAGTTGGTGAGTGAGTGAGTGAGTGAGTGAGAGGTGAACGAAGAGAAGTTGGTGGGTAGGTGAGTGAGTGAGTGAGTGAGTGAGGTGAACGAAGAGAAGTTGGTGGGTAGGTGAGTGAGAGGGTGGATGGGTGGGTGAGTGAGTGAGTGAGTGAGGTGAACGAAGAGAAGTTGGTGAGTGAGTGGGTGAGTGAGTGAGTGAGGTGAACAAAGAGAAGTTGGTGGGTAGGTGAGTGAGTGAGTGAGTGAGGTGAACGAAGAGAAGTTGGTGGGTAAGTGAGTGAGTGAGTGAGTGAGTGAGTGAGGTGAACGAAGAGAAGTTGGTGAGTGAGAGGGTTGGTGGGTGAGTGAGTGAGTGAGTGAGAGTGAGTGAGTGAGGTACATGAACAAAGAGAAGTTGGTGGGTAGGTGAGTGAGTGAGTGAGTGAGGTGAACGAAGAGAAGTTGGTGGGTAGGTGAGTGACAGAGTGGGTGGGTGGGTGGGTGTATGTGTCTGTGTGGTTGGGTGAGGGGGAGGGGGAAGCAGTAAGTGGGAGTGGGTAGGTTTTTCACCTCCTTACACAATACTCCAATCTCCTAAACATCAAATCTTTTACTCCTATACAATACCTCACTGATCTGACGACACTTCCACAGAAGGGCACAATTTTCCAATTTTCTGATGGACGGGTTGAAGGGAAGGGTATCCCGTAACCCCAGTAACCCCTTCTGATGGATATCACTGCTGCTTAAACTACACCCATCACCAGCGAGTCTTCATAAATATGGACACATGAAAATTGCTAAAAAAGCTATTTCAGGGGATGACTTGTAATTTGCACCTGTTCAGGTGCTGGCCCAAGTGTATCATGTTTCACTTAACTGCAAAACAGCAATATACATGTCTAACATACGATATGCAAGACATGGCACGTTTGCTATAGAGTTCAAGAGTTCTTGAGGCCGGCATTTGAACAGCGAAACAGACCTCTAAGGAAATACAGGCAAGTCAGCTGAAAAAGCCTACACTGGGTATTAACACACATTGTTACACTATGCAGTATTTTTCATATGAATTTGTGTTCAAGCAACTTCAGCTTTATGGGTGATGGTGATTTACAATGACTTTTCTTGCATTCAGGTATTTCCCGATGTTAAAACCCAGGCTTAAATACAGAAAATATCAGGAAGATAATATTTTATCTGAAAATTAGGCCAGGGCTTAAACGTGAAAAGGATTATGGCAGACTCAAGAGCACCAACATAAGACTTTCACAAGGAGCGAGGCCAGAAAGCTGAAATGACAGCGAAACTAATTTTAATGTTTATACTTGTTTGTTGTTTAACGGTGCACTCAGCAAAAAATCCAGCTATATGATGGCAGTCTGTAAATAATTGAGTCTGGGCCAGACAATCCAGTGACTGACATCATAAGCATCGATCCATGCAATTGGCATACAATGACATGCATCAACCAAGTCAGCAAGCCTGACCACCCGATCCCGTTAGTTGCCTCTTACGACAGGCATAGTCGCCTTTTATGGCAAGCATGGGTTGCTGAAGACCTACTCTACCCCTGGTCTTCAAGTGTCTTTAATGTTAATACTTCTTTTTAATGCATAATACCATTTCTTGTTTTGAAAAAGATAACTATATTACAAACTTCTTCATGTTGTGGAATATTATTTGCATAAAGTAATCTGAATCTAAGCCCATAGGCCTTAAAAGGAATTATTTTCCGTTATTATGCACATGGTCTTAATTTCGCAATGGCCTAAATACAGGAAATCACGCTAGCCACACAAATTCATTCTAAGATGGGGCTCTGAAATACTTTGTAAAGATATTAAATATGATGGTGTAGATGTCACAAACCCATGTAGACCAGGGACTAGGATTTTAGTTGACTATTGAACAATTATTTTGGACTAACTGTCAACTGGTCGGTAACCATGGTAACACATGTATCCAGTTTTAACGGAGGCTCGTGTGAGCCAGCGGTAGGGGACTTAGTGCATGTCTCTCAACAGGAAGTGTTTCAATGTAGATACTCTTAAATGTGATATCCTTCACATGAAAGTGGCAACCCCATTCATCAAATGAAATATCATTCACAAACTTTTTCGGTCACAATGAATGTATTATAATAAATGGAGCTTGTAACTGCCGGCTTCATTCATGGCAGCCACCCCAACCACATGCATTCCTGGATCCAGTTTCACAAACTCGTTTAGGGGTATGAGTATCGTAACTGCCCTACTTACGACAGTTGTAGCTTACAAGCCCTTTGTGAAACAAGGCCCAGGCATAGAAATACCACTTACTCCATATTCAACTGCTGAGTGCATGGTATTGTCTTACATTACTTCCAACAGTAGTATTCAAGCATTACTGTGACAGGGGGCTTAAGTGAGTGAGTATTGTTTTACGCCGCTTTTTAGCAATATTCCAGCAATATCACGGCGGGGACACCAGAAATGGGCTTCACACATTGTACCCATGTCGGGAATCGAACCCGGGTCTTCGGCGTGACGAGTGAACGCTTTAACCACTGGGCTACCCGATCGCCCCGACAGGGAGCTTGAAGGATGGACCGCCCACACTGTACACATGCAGAGACTAAGAGACAGTTATTAGGTTATCACTTCAACTCGAGCTGTTTAGTCGCCTCCTTCGACCAGTATCGGTTGTGGTGGAGGTTTCTTAACCCAGAATAGCCACGGATAGGTACTGAATCAGTTACAATAACAAACCAAATATGTACAGTGAATTTAAGTCTTAACATTTTCTTAACATCAAATGGCACCAGTTCAGTATGTACTTGATATATAGATATGCAATGTTTGGCAAGGAAATATTTAACAGATTATTTGTTATACTCCATTAGTGAACCCACCCTATATGAAAATTTAAATCCAACTGGTTGCCATAGAAACATAAAAAATAAAAAAAATAAAAATTCCTAAATAGCAAAAGGCACCAGTTCAGTATGTGCCTGGTAGACATGCAAAGTTTTGTAAGAAAGTATTTAACAGTTTTTGAGTAACGGTCTGGAAACACCACCCTTATAGAACCTAAGTCCAACTTGTTATCATGGAAACGCAAAAAATAAAACTTTCTAAAATTCCTTAATAGCAAGAGGCACAACTTCAGTATGTGACTGATAGATGTGCCAAGTTTTGATCAAATACACTGAATTGTTTTCGAGTTCTGCCCTGGAAAAGGAAATGATTACGGATGGACGGACAGACGGACGGACAGACTGGCTGATCGCTATATCCCCCCGCATTATATGCCGGGGGGATAACAATGTAATCTTGATAATTGTTTGTTTGTTTTTTAATGCTGCACTCAGCAATATTCCAGTTGTATTATATATATAGCCTGTAAATAGATGAGAATGGACCAGACAATCCATATACGGATATTGCGAACAATGATCAATGTCTTTAGGGTACGATGACACACCATTGACCAAGTCACCGAGCGTAACCGCCCAATTCATTTGGTTGCCAGTTCTGACCGGTAAAAGGCCCTTCTAACCACCTCATCTAACCCAGGTCAACCACTGATAGTGGCATGGCCTAACTATATACATCCAGAACTGGTTGTTTGTGTTTGTTTTGAGATGAAGAAATTAGATGTGCACGTCAGGATGCATGGCTAAATCAAACTGCATTTAGAAGCTTGGACGTGGATTTGCTGAAAAAGTTCAACTGTCGCAGTATCCTATATGAAGGTGTTGTCCGATCTTCACACAGACAGGTGCAGGTGTCGAATCAGAGTAAAAGATTGAATTTAATGAGATTGCTTTTTAACCAATCAACTGACTATACTTGAGTGACAATTATACTAATGATAACCTTATTAGGAGTCTCAAAGATCTGAGGTCCGGGGTTCGATTCCCAGCCGCGTCATACCAAAAGGCGTTAAAAGATGGTACTTGTTGTTACCCTGTCTGGCGCTCGGCATTAAGGGGCTAAAACAAGGACTGGTCGGCTCGGAGTCAGTATACTGTGTCTGAGTGGGGTATTCATGTTAAACTGCGGCATGGTATCTCAGTGAGCTAGCACTATAAATCGGCATCAGTCTGGACTAGTACAAGCAGCCACACACACACACACATACATGTCGCTATATAAGTGCAATTATCTTGGACGCGACATTAAACCCCATTTCACCTCACCTCACCTCAAAGATCTGAGTCTCAAATTTCTGCAAGGTAATACTTAGTTGTGAGACAATACAACGGTGCATCGGTTGATCACCATTTTTTACTTCTCGATACAACTATCGATCAAGTCGCACACTAAGTAAAAAATATTGATTCTTACATTCAGTGTTTGCTTTAATAACTGTTCCACTAAATGCTAATTAGAAGTGAAAACGTAAGTATTTTCATCCATTACGCCATACTTGTGAGTGAGTGAGTGAGTTGGGTTTAACGCCGTTTTTAACAGTATTCCAGTTATATCACGGCGGGTCAGCTTAATGATGGAGGAAAGCCCGAAGTGATGCAGGTCTCAGACGTTTACCACTTCGGTGAAACCCACGAGCAAGGGTATGGGGCTGACAAACGTAGAAACATAATCGGGGCGAACTGGGATTCGAACCCACAATCATAGGTTTCTGGCGTGCCAAAGGGACGCAACTCTGCACAGTGAATCGCGGCGCCTTAGACGACTGGGCCAACCGTGCCCCCCCGCCATACTTGTGACTACCAGCTGTAAATCGTCAGTGTGCCAGGTATTTGGCCATCTTGTCTACCACAAACAATAGCTTAGCCCAAGTTAGGGACGACAGGTAAGACCACACGCAAGCATCAGGATATGTATCGGATCGTGAGCAAGGTATCGTGATACATATCGGATCGCACAGTTGGTGTATCGTCCCAGCCTTACTTATACTTGTCTGTCATTAGAACAGGAAATATAGCATGCTGAATGATTTTTTAGAACAGTGTCCAAAGAAACTATCATCCTGACACACGATTAACCAGACCTATTCTTCCAAACAAAAGTGACAGGCAAGCACATGAACAGTAACCCAAATTCAAGGCCAGGTGTAGTTCTTGTCTGGCTAGTACAGTTCTTGCTCTTGTTTTATATATTGCAAACAGCCCTGAACAAATAAATGGGAAAAACTAATACTGACAGATGGATTGCAGCAAAAGGCAATCACTGACATGGAAAAATTATGGATCTAAAAAACGTTTCAGTTTAAACTATATGGACCGTTGTAACTGTCTGACTCACCAATCACTGACCCTAGGACGAAATTTATTGATGTGTGCATTCCAGTAAAACTTGCAATGTTAAGAAAATATGCAATAAACACCACAGTATAAAGCTTGCTAAATATAATGTTTATTCCTAATACAGGATATTTACCATCCCAAAACACACTTGCATGACAGCCTCTATATATAGTGATGATTTACCAGCTCCAGCAAGGCTTAATTACCTAATTACATGTTTTCTTAATCATTCACTTTTTTTCTTTTTTTATTGTTGACTAAGAGGTCAGTGATGCATACAGTCTGCCTGCATCATATATGCAACTCCAAAAAGCATTTGAATGTGTTTGTTTTTTGTTGTTTAACTTCGCATTCAACAATATTCCAGCAATATGATGGTACTCTGTAAATAATCAAGTCTGGACAAAACAATCCAGTGATTGACATCATGAGCATAGATCTACGTAACTAGGATACAATGACATGCATCTGACGACCCAATCCTGTTAATCGCCTTTTATCATAAGCATGGGTTGCTGAAGACCAATTCTGCGTCTTTCAGTGTGTGAATCTTGTCTTAAAAAATAACCTGCAATATTACAGCTACATTAAGAGGTATTTTCGTAACAGAGTCTGAAACAGGCATAATAGCGGCTGATTGAATGACACTGATTCCCACTGTCGGGGGGCAAGGTCACACAATCAGCTGGGTCTCACTGTAACCTTCTAATCCTTAGTATATCAGCCAAATTTCATAGTAGCCAAACAGTTAACTATATATCAATATATCAAGCCATGTTCCACAAAGCGATCTTAGCACTACAACTGTCGTAAGTCTATGTTAAAGTATGGGAGTTACAATCATCTTAGCGCTGAGATCGCTTTGTGAAACGGGCCCCTGATGGTCAGGCTGACTTGATTGTAGGTTATCTTGCCCCGACGGCACTGGTCGATGCTCATGCTTCCACTCACCGGTTTGCCTGGTCTAGACTTGATGACTTACAGGCTGGTGATATATATAGCTGGAACATTGCTTACAGAAGGCACTCACAATGGCAAGCATGGTATATTTGGAACATTTCATACATACACAAGCTAATGATTTGTCTACATCATATATACTCCCCCTTATATTCCTGGATGCATATTTGCATTCAATATCATAACATTCTTTGCTCTTTGATCAAAACGTTCATTTTCTGCAAAGACTGCAAATTTGAACAGATACTTTAGTTACAAAGATATATACTAGCAATATCTCATGGGCAGACATAAATAATATCTTCAGCTGACATTTTCTATTTAGTTATGAGATATATTGATGACATACAATGAATAAATTGTCCAACAATTTATCCATACAATGCAACATTGTTTTCATATTTCAACATATTATAAAATCTTCTACTTTCAGATATTAACAAAATATATGATAGATATGAGCTATCAAAAGTGACAAATCAAATTTTATGCAATGTGGATTTTTTTCAATTTGAGAACACCCTTCATTCTTCTTTCTATCCATCCCACAATTCTCAGGACAACCAGTGCCTTATTCTGTTTATACAATGCAGGAACAATGTGCATATCTTTTTTTTCATTTTTTCCTGTGACCTCAATTCTTGTTTACTACGCCGTGAACCTCGTGCCTCTACAACTGTCATTCCGATCGTGTTATGTCACTTCTAAAAATAGCCATAACCTTGGCTTGTTCATTCAAACAAAAAGCGATTTACAACCGTTCATTCGTCCATGAATGCGCGGGATTTTGTCATTTGATACGTCTCGTGGTTGGTCGCTACATTTGTCAAAACGACATAGCTAATTGCTACAGGGGGTGTATTTATTAGATTTAAACTTCCTCCTTAGTTTTGCTGTACTTTGACCATACAACGGCTCACGCCAAGACATATGCGGCTCTGAAAAGCCATGACTAAGTGGCTATTCTTAGATCAATTTCTCCAGAATTCACATAGCACTTCGTCTTTTTCAAAGTCTAACTGCTAATATTGTGCTAATATTCATGTAATGCAGTCGGTGGTTTGTCTGACATTTTGCAAATAAGCGAGTAGTTCTGGAAAGCGTTCAAATTGCTAGCACTGCGCACAGTGTACCGTCAGTTGCATTTGATCTAGATAAAAACATGTCGGGACGTATCAGGGCTAAAAATAGACCGTCGCTTCGTGGGTGTTACACGCCACGACAACATTTCGCGTCCGCAAATCTGCATTTATTCCTCAAATTTATCAAAGCTCAATAGTTTGCACTCCACACGATACTACGACACGGGCGAGTCACCGGTTTGGCGGGTGCGTGATCCCGACCAGTGTATAGTATGCCGACATGAATTGGAGACCTTCCACGCATGTGAGGTTACATTACCGCATTTCTGCCAATGTAGGGCTCTAATTAAGGTGTGTCGAACGCCTACAGGAAAAACGCGGCAAATATTCAGTTAATCAGGAACAGACAACCGAGCATATGTACGTACAGTATCTATCGCAAACCAAAGAACAAGTGTAATACGGCGATACTAATCAAACATAACGACAAATCGGCTAATTTTCAAAATTAGTGCAAGTTAATCTTAATCTTAATAAGGAGGCGATAAATTAATTCACATGACATTCATTGCATTTGGAAATATATCAAGACAATCTTTTTTTTGCTTAATATGCAAATTTATCAATAAAATCCAATTAACCTCTTAATCCCTAACTTGCATCAATAATAGAATACACAATGCATTCTGTCACATCCACTGCAGGCCAATAGGTCATAGGTACGAGGTCAGAAATTAGTTAAAAGCAGAAGGCAAGATAACAGCTCAGAGATTCTGTAACCAAAGACAAATAATATTTTTGAAAAAAGTTAACAATTTGCAGTTTTAAAAATATTAAAGTAGTATATATTTTAATGATTATATTCACTCAAAAGACAACATAACTGTCCATAACCTTTAGAAAGACTTTGGTCTATCACCAAAATGAGAAAGTAACCCGATCCACCATTCAAAAGTCCAAAACAATTTTCCAAGAAACCAGCTCACATAATCAAGTATATACCTCACGCTCCATTATTTGAGGTATTACGGTAAATTCGAAGTGGTCTCCCTTGCTATGCCGCTACAGCATATCGACTCTGCACAGCCGCGCACACTTGTTTGCTAAAATTACGCAATGTCTACTTGCAATCCTTACCAATTTTCGTTCCTGGAACTTTGTTGTATGTGCTGATGTTGCAGTGGTCGCAGTTCGTGGTTCTCACATTGCTCTCCAACTGGTTGTGGCATGCAGGTCTCACATCACCTGCTTTGCTCCGGCTTTTACGAAATCGCGAGACTGACCTAGGTAAGGGAGGCAACTCGTGTAGCGATAGTTTCCTGTGCACATTGAGCGTGTCACCTCATGCAAACACATGCGTTCTCCGTCCGCGGGTCTGTATAACAATACGCTTCTGTTATCATATACACTTTTTTTAGTTTACATAAGATCAACTGCATATCGTTATTATGTTGTCACATGCCAATGAACAATACAAATAACAAACCTATGCATAAAATACATTAATGGTTTTATTTCTTGAAAAAAATCTTTTATCATATTAAACATCTACAAAAACGAGTCTATGTACATATAACATTTCGACATCAATGAAGGACAATAAAAAAATGAAACAGTACTCTTTCTAATTATAAATACATTGTAAGACATGAAAACACTAAAGCTTTTACAGGTATAAAGCTGTTCGGTCATATTATAGCACTTGTAATGCACAATCATGCTCGTATAAAAAATGGTAAGAAATAACACCTTATAATGAACGTTTGTTTAACATGCAAAAAGACCCCAAGTGGACATGGAAATAAGTGTATACTGCACTTGACCATCTCAGGTTACACTGCGCGAGGAAGGGTTGTACTCTACAAACCAGGTTCACATCCAGGATAACATTACAAGATGCAGTCATAGCTTAAACCAGCATTTCGCTATAAAATGAATGAGATATTCGCACAATGTGAGTAGAAAAGAATAAAGTAAACAATGCAGTAATTCACTTTACAAGAGTGAGTGATTTGGGTTAGCAATATACCAACAATATCACCGCGGGGGACACCAGAAATGTACTTCACACACTGTACCCATGTGGGGAATCGAACCTGGGGATTCGGTGTGACGAGCGTATGCTTAAACCACTAGACTACCCGACCGCCCTTCTCTGTACAAGAGCAGGCTACTATACATATAGTGATTCACGCATGTATTGGGCTGTGCAATGTTAAGTCCTGGCAACTATAAGTTTACATCTGTCAAGAGTGGTGGTTTAAACGTGTCACACCACGCTTGCTGTTTGTTTGTTGTTTAACGTCACACTCAGCAATATTCCGGCTATATGACGGCGGTCTGTAAATATCCGAGTCTGGACAAGACAATCCAGTGATTGATATCATGAGCATCGATCTACGCAAATGGGGTTAACACCACGGCATATGTACACAGCTATGCAGAGGCCCCAACACACCGTCAATCACTGAGCGCTGGGTACAGTGACACGCCTTGCATTGTTTACGCCAGCAGTAAGGCCACAACAAACTGACTATTTGTTCTTCTGATGCTTGTCTCCAAAGTTCAGTTAGGCCTTACATTTTAGTCACATGACGATACCGATCGACCCAAAACATTAATTAGGGGGAAAAAAGAAAGACTTTTTTAGGTGAAATAAGCAAAATCCACGAGATTGTATCACCGCTGTTCGCAAGAAATGGTGATTAATGCGTATACAAATCTTTATTCTTACAACAACAACAAAAACCAGCAAATTATTTTTTCGAATCGCACTTTCGTGATGATATGACCTACAAGCGTGTTTTGAAAATTATTCTAATTTTTCTTCCTACCACTAACATCAATGTTTGGTCCAAACATTTTTTAGGCCAAACAAGTAAAAGGTCTTACGAAGGTCAAGTAAGGTTTTTTCATGACATTTGCTGTTTTCAAAGTCTGAACGATTTTGTCATTTTCCCGCGTGAAATGTTGACAGCTGTACATGCGTGGCATTGGAGAATTTAATTCTCAGAAAACTTTCTTGTGGGATATATGAAACACTTCAACTTGGTATGGAACAATAATGTAGCGATCACATGATCTGTATAGCACTTCAATAAACATGTAAACATGCAGTCAGAGCTTATCCATGCCAGTTTTTATCAACTTTAGATAAGACTTTCTTCTTTTTCTTCACTACATGTGAAAAAATATCTCTGGGGCATATGTTTTGGATGTCAATTAGCCTAGCAAATGACCTGTCCTGAAATCTTGCTTAAGCAAGGAACAGCCGGTTATGACATCTTCATTTCATTAATTCTCAAACGTAAATTATAACAAATGTTTTTTATTTCATAAATATAAAGACATAAAAATAGAAAATCAATATCTGTCATAAATACAACAGTAACAAGCACCGTATCTAAAATATTCCCTCGAAACAACGATTGTAGCGTCAGTAAGTTACACGACCTGCACATAAAATACAAAACGTTTCATTTTTAAGACGAATTTGCATGCATAGTTCGTGTATAAAATATTATAAAAACCTGTACTTTTATCTTTTATGATATTCGCCACCTGTGACGCTAACATTCCACAGCCATATGCAGGTAACCACATAACAAACGACGATAGCCATGGCTGACAACACACCGAGACCGAGTGACCGAGTAACACGACGGTGTGTTCCGAACGTACACGACACTTCAGTACACGTGAAACGAGAACAATCAGCGTGTTCATAACGGTAATACAATTTCAGTTTCTCCAAGTTCTGCACGTGGGCGTTTAAAGTGTCATGAGACCGCCTTGTGTATTATTGCAAATAAATGGGGTTTAAAGTCCGTACACTTTCAGTACAAATATTGAGTAATTTAGAATACACATGTAGTGTAGAAAAATAGTAAAGTTGGAATACCCATCACGATATCCTGGCTACACGAGAATAGCGAATACGTGTGCAAGACAAAAGTATAAATTCTGATTAAAACAACCAGTATAAATCAGTATCACAGATCGAGAAGATACATCTCCGAGTATTTGAAATTAAGTAAAGAACGACGTGGCCATACTAACTACAAACATTGAAAGACATAATCTCTACAGTAAAAGATCCATTCAACCTGTTAAGACGCCTGCGCCATATCAAGTTCTTCGTAAATGAAAATGTCAGTATTGTATAAGTTCAGAGGTATATGAAAGTTGCTAATTGCCAGAGATAATCAAACACAGAAAAAGTGTTGTTTGTATCGTCATTTCCAAACTCGACCACACAATTCTAACATGCTTGGTCCACAAGAGTCCATCTCTAAGTTGATGCTATGTATAGACAGAAGTATGAAAGTTGGACTCCGGTCGATGGAAGTCAATTATGTGTGACTGATTGTGTACAGGTCTTAGCAGAAATATACAAACATATTGATATGTACATGACATCATGCTCAATTTATTCATAGTACTTTGTGGCAGGTTTGCCAGGAGATATCTATACAAAATCTACGTTCCGGACATGTCATAGTAAGATCTACCATACCAGGAAGCATGGCACTGACCGGAAGTTCCGCCAAGACTTAGAGTCCCAACAATCTAACATTAGAGGTGGCTCAAAACACAACAGCATGTGGAATGTCGAATACAGTATGGTTGATGAATCACTGATGTCGATGTCACATGTACACAGTTGCAAGTTTCATTAATATGTTCTGGTATATTGTCATGGAGGTGACTCTTCTAGAATACCTGCTGCCTCTCTGTACTGAATCCGATGACGCATCTTTTCCCTTATGTCACGGTGACCCAGCACGTGCTTCCAGGTCACCATGACACGTGGATGTCATGACGTGTCAGCTTTAGGTACTTCTGGTCTTCATACGAAGAAAGTTTTTTTTCGGTTTTGGGGTTTCCGATTTTTTTTAGGATTTTCTGTGAACAATTTCCTTGTAGCAGTAGCGTCATGGTTGTATTGTGACGTGGAAAGACGTTTCTGGAAGAGGGCAGACGAGCAGATGATCTGTGAGTATCTCTTTCAGTCGGTCTCTCTCTTGCTGCAGTCGCTGTAGCTCGGAGCGCATCTTGGTGTTGGAGGATTCCAGACGCTGAGTTTTCTGTAAACATTGAAATATGATATTAAAGAAAAATATAAACCTATTTATTTGACACACTGAACAATGGAAATATGACTAACACGTGACAATAATTCTATTCATGTCTAATTTGTGGCTGACATCATTTCCAAATATGTATATTGTTATAAATTTCGAATATTGATTATGTATCTCATGACAATGAGTAATGAAACACCTACCAGGAAATGATAATTATTATTTTAATTATGTGTCATATGATCACCACAGCTTGTTGCAGATGGAGTCAATCCACAAAATACTGTTTTGAAATATAGTTTCAGACTAGAACTTTACACTCTGTAGAATCCTCATCGATATTATAGTGTAACATCGTTAGTCCGCTTGTCTCGAAATACGGTTAACACGACATATTTTCGACTCGAATTGAAACCTCCTTAACTGGAACACTGTTTTGAAATATAGTTTCAGACTAGAACTTTACACTCTGTAGAATCCTCATCGATATTATAGTGCAACATCGTTAGTCCGCTTGTCTCGAAATACGGCTAACACGACATATATTCGACTCGATTTGGAGTTAACCATCTCTAACTTTTACACATCAATTACACGGCAATCATGAAAATTAAAGACATGCAAGCTATACCTTGAGAAGAACTTCAGCCGTGTCTTTCTGCTTCTTTCTGAAACGTCGGGCCGCCATTCTGTTCTGCTCCCTGCGAACTGTAGCTCGCTCTTCCTCCTCTTCAGTCAACTGCAAAATAGTTAACTTTTGGTCAACGATCGATCAGGTATCAGTACACGAATAACCTTCAGAATGTAATATGAAAACAAATATTCTTTCCATAACACACCATGCTGATAACGTGTGTGTATATGTAAATAATAAGGATGAGTAGTATTAAAACAAACCAGTCAGGCTCTGTAATATGGGATTATATATGACAATTCAAATTTATGATATAACAGCGGTTTCAACTGATGAATATGCATTGTTTTAGTAAATTTTACATAGTTTAATGCATCTTTTATGAATACAAAAAAGAGATAGAATCACAACACATCGCGCGATAAACAGGCATCAAAGCATTCCCGTAACCAGGTAGCTTGTAGGTATTTTCAAATATTGTAAAATGATTTGTTTGGTTTTAATGTTGTTTAACGCCGCTCTTAGTTATATTCCAGCCGTATGACGGCGGTCTGTACACAATCGAGTCTGGACCAGACAAACCAGTGATTGACATCATGAGCATCGATCTACGCAACTGGGATACGATGACATGCATCAACCAAGTCAGCGAGTCTGACCACCCGATCCCGTTTCGCCTTTTACGACAAACATGGGTTTCTGAAGACCTACCGCTTCGGTCTCGCCTGCGAGTTTATATTGTTTGTTATTATTTTTAGTTGCATGGTCCTGTGACATAATACACTAAATAAACAACCAGTGGGTATATACAGTAAATAACAACAACCCACGTGATCACATGCTAGTTCCAGGTACTTACCACTTTCTTCTCCGGCACCGTGAATTCGACCTGTATATCCTCCTTTCCCTCCACGAAACGCCGGTTCAAGATGGCACATTTCAGCTCCTCCTTGACTAGCGGGGTGATGCTCCCCGTCTCGATGGCCGCGAGGGTGGCAGCCACCATTTTCTCGTCCCCCAGCACTGGGAGACAAGTACCCGGGGAATACTGGACATCTTCAGACATAGCTTCAACCGTGGTGGGTATCAGTGGCATGGGAGCGACAGCCATGACAGGTAGATTGTTGATAAGTGTTTCATCAACACCGTCCTCCATGATAATAGATCTCGAGTTTGTCATATCTGAAATACAGCGATTTTTATATCACTTGTCTGCAACCATGTCTTTCTATACTGAAAATGTTTAACGTTCTGTTACAAAGGTTGCAGGAACAATGTATTTATGCCAAGTACGTTGTATTGACGTTTGAAACTCCACGTGGATTTCACATGGTGGTGTCATACCAGTCTATTAATAGCACGCGGGAATATTTCACATCTGCGCATTAGCGGACCGGGATATAAGGGAGGACACTATTTTGGTGTGTTCAGTTACATCTAAGACACCATGCTGCGCTGACAAAATGGACAATGTCCACTGACAGTCTGTTAGCGATATAGTGTTTAGCTGTGTTGTTTTTTAAACAAGTATGACCTATAATAGCCCCCGCCCCCTTCCATCACCCGGATGTTAATTCACAACAGAACGAAGTCCTACGTTCTTTATCAGATGGTATTTTTTTAATTAATCAACATCAAATCAAAACTGACTGATTGACCTGTCCCAGGCAGTGATAGATACAGAACGCTTATCAAAACAATTAATTAATCTTTAAACTTAAATAAACCAACTTAAAGTTATGATTTATAATTATATTGACGACGACATATTGATATTAAATCTGTTATATTCAATTAAATTTATGCTTTTTATGTTTTCAGCTGATTTTTCAATCGTTCACGACATCCACATACTATTCACACACGTTATCATATTTGAACAGTGACCATAAAATAGATATGATCTCAGATTTGAAGTATTCGTTAATTTGAAAGGTCCTCACTTTTTCTTTTTAACATCTTTTTATCAGTTTATTTCAGTTTTCTTTTTTGAATGTTAATTCCGAGCCAAATGTGCTCCAAAGTTCTTCATCTCTCTCAACACCGGGGTATTGCACCACACCGTCGCCTGACTCAGCACTTACCGGCAAGCGTGGTGTTGTGACGACGTTGGCCGGCTAGCTGATTCATAACTAGCCAGTCGTTGTGTGAAAGGCTGAATGAAGCAGTTGCGAGAGGCCTCTGTATTTATAGGGGCTTGCGGTGACGTCAAAGGGAAGCGCCCAGACTTGTTCGTCTGGAGCGAGCGTGTCCAAACACGACCAATGGGATGTAATACGGAATTCAACGAGTACATATCGGCAGTTTACGGAAATGCTCGTAAATGTCCGCCCATACAACGCTGATTCATTCCACTCAACAAAATTCTCTTCACAGGGATATAAACTGAGCTAATTTTAATGTAAAAAATAGAATATTTCATTGTAATCAACGAATTACATTATTTGATCAATTATTATTTAAAAATCGGTAATATTGATAACGTGTGATACATATACACTATAGCATGAATGTAACTGAACATGGATTTGTTGAGTCGTCACCCCTATTTCATACAAGATACTGAACAATCTAGATTCTTCTACATGCACATATATGTCGTCAGATTTCTCATCAATGGTATACCATTGTGTATGACAGGGACACATCCAGGCCAGTGTTGTAAACGTGGGCGTATTGTGGCTGTTGTGTCACACTAACTGCGGCGTGGTTAACCGCCATTGCCTGCTCCGTCTCCTCGCGGATAGAACAAGTATTACTGCTTCTGAGAAGTTTAACGAAGCTGAAATTTCCAATTAAAACTTAAACGTCTATCGAATATTATCAATCAACCAATATTTATATCTCTAGAAGAACCATACACGTTGGTACAGAAGAAAAAGTTTCGTTACATGGTAATCTGTATTTAAGATGTCGGTTACTGTACACACATTTGGCGACATCGAAACATTTTGCTTGATAATTTTATTGAACACTTAAACAGAAACACATAAACAGGCCAGTAATCGCGATCATGTCATTAAATAGCATATTTCCGAAATATAACATATAGCATATAAATCGAAATATTCAACTGAATTCAAATTAACAGGATATGTGTGTATACCTATTTTGTGCCATTTGTTTGTTAAACAACCCCTACAGTGTTATCTGTGTTAATCTGGTGGATGTGGGTGTGGCCCCTGTACATCAGTCAACCATCTTCTTCTTCTAGTTACCTGGGGTACGTCAGTTCGGACCCGTGAAGATCCGGGGTAGAATAGGTCTTCAGCAACCCATTTCTGCCGTAAAAGGAGACTATGCTTGTCGTAAGAGGCGACTAACGGGATCGGGTGATCAGGCTCGCTGACTTAGTTTAGGATGTCATCGTATCCAATTGCTAGGATCGATGCTCATGATATCGGTCACTGGATTGTTCGGTCCAGACTCGATTACTTACAGACCGCCGTCATATAGCTGGAATGTTGCTGAGTGCTGCGTTAAACAACAAACAAACAAATAAACAACGTCAGTCCGACCTGTCACGAGTGTCTGAGTGGGAGTGTGTGTGTGTGTGTGTGTGTGTGTGTGTGTGTTTTGGGGGGGGCGCTGTGTGGAGAGACTACTTTATAAGACGGATACACATGCTCAATATACTCATGTTGCGTTGGTCCTCATAAGACTTCATGTTAATAAAGTTATATGGCATTAGTCTGTGTCAGCTTAGTGTGTGTGTGTGTGTGTGTGTGGGGGGGGGGGGGGGGGGGGGGGGGGGAAGCCCGAAGTGATGGACGTCTTAGACGTTTACCATTTGGTGAAACCCAAGAGAGCAATTCTACCTTCGTCTCGCCACTCGGAACAATGACATGCAAATCCAACCCTTACGTAGCTTATTCCTCTCTTGGAATCGGCTCAAAGTTTATAATGTAAAACAATAAAGCAGATACTGTTGTAATTTCGACCAGCGTATCCCGGTACCACGAAGGGAAATAACCACTGTGGCTAATCCTCTTTCATTCCATTCATGACGTAAGTGAGGCGATGAATATTCAGCGTTATAGGATACACACAGGGTATATGCATACCTTCTCACCGAATGCCTTGTCTTGATTTTTTTTTATCGCATCACGTGTTTGTTGTTTAACGTCGCATTCACCAATACTCCACAGCAGTCTGTAAATAACCAAAGTGAGTGAGTATGGTTTTTAAGCAATATCACGTCGGGGGACACCAGAAATGGGCTTCACACATTGTACCCATGTGGGCATTCGAACCTATGACGAGTAAACGCTTTAACCACTAGTCCACCCCACATCCCCGTAAATAACCAGACAAACTAGTGGTTGATGTTACGAGCAACGTTCCACACCTTCGTGATACCCGAGACAACCATGTCACAAGCCAGGGTTGCTTGAGCCTATTGCAACCCAGAATCCTCACGGTGACCTCATCGAGTGGGTTCATCTCGGCTGAAGCTGAGCTAATCTTTTGTTTGATGATGACGTCATTGCGTGGTACATGATGTTATACTACAGCGTATTTGTTATGAACAAAAACTTTTAGGTATTCGAATAGCCTACTTATAAAACGTTCACTGGTTACGTCAAAAATTCGGGCTCGGTCCAATTTATGAATACACATTATTTTGTTAATCGCTGACCTGATTTTTAAGTCTTATTAATTTGATATAATATAACGTATGTACCTACACGCAATATGGCGGCAGCTCGTTGTTGACGTACTGTATACGTCACAGGAGATATGACGTCACATGGCCGCGACTGACTATGTCACGAGAGGAAATAAACGTGTTATGTGACAAGAAAAGACAAACGTTCTATTTATTATATATTTTCTCACTGATACTATTCTCCAAACCATAGTATGAATTAAGTAACCAATGTAATTACAATCACATCTTTCATTCTAAGATACCTCTCTGTGTGAAGGTTTGAGGACCTCCCCATTTGGGGTCGCGGAAGGTGAACATTCTAATCAGCCAATCAGCGCCGAGGCGTATTTCTTGGTATGATTGAGCAAGGAAATCCGAATGTTAAAAGCTATCATGCTTTTATATTGTTTTAATACATCCTGTCGTTTCTGAATTTCCGTTAAGCAACGAAACCGAAGTGTTTTAGAAAGCAGACATCTGATTGGTTCAAAAACCAATGCATCCATGCACTAGATTGGTCAAAATTCGTTCTGGCTTCACCGAACACGACTGCCTATGGAGGTGTCCTTAGATCTTCATGCACAATGCGTCGCTTGACTGATATTTTGTCTCTGAAATGAAAATATTTTACAGAAATACAGACATTAAATTACCTTAATAAAACACAAGAAGGAGCCAATATTAGACTATTGCACGCGCTGTATTTGAGTCTGTATGACAGATTAAGGAACCGCAGAGGAGTAAACGGTTGCATTACATGAAAAATGGAAGCAATCCCACCCCTATACCATTTCCTGAATGCCCCAAAACTTCCCCACCAGAAAGATGACATTCTGAATTCTTTTTCACGTTCTTCTAGATTTATGTTTGATCCCACACTTAGTTATACTCCTCAACTACACTTATGACAAAGCTATAAGCATATAATAGCTTATTTATATATAATGATACCACTTCCGGTTTGGGAAACCATAGCAAGTGCCGTACACGCTCTATGCATGCAGATACAATGTACCCAAATAACGAGGTTCTATGGACGTACTTGGTCTAAAGGAGCATTAATTAACTCCCAACAGTAAGTGCGGTGTACGTTTTCCAGTGACGACAAAACACAGAGATTCAAATTGCAAATAGTCATTTATTCTCATGCTTATATAAAAATATAATGCCATAATCATCATCAATGGAACAAAAAACATCTTCTCTGTACAACAACCGTAAACATCTGACTGCAGGCCCCATGCTGCGAAAACAGGTCATTAACCGTATACACATGTATACACAAACAAACACTCATCCGGGGTATAAAAGTAACAAACAAAACAAAGTGTGTCATAGCATCAAGCAAAATGAAAGTAACAAGTGACATCTACATCTACGCGTACACTATGTAACAACAGGCCCTGCATGTAGCAGCGCAAAGCAAAAACAAGTTCAATCAAATCATGTTTATTGTTATTCATATATACTGGTGAAGATATTTGGCAATGGGCCCAGATCGTGAATTTGTAACAACAAAAGGACATAACGCAATACTAACGCATGTACTCCACATGCAGGTTGAAATTGACTTCGGTATTATAAAAACACAGGATGGATTATAAATGATGAAGAAGAAAATGAACACATGACATTCTATGTCGAAAAATATGAAATGAAACTTACTAAAAATCTAATAAAACTAAAAAAGGTGTCTTATGTGGTTGTACGTGACAATCAAACAGTCAAGATATCAACGATTTATCAACGTGTATGAGAAGGGATGAACAAATTATTTAAAGCTTTGGTTTAAAAATTTGGAGAATAACAAAATTGAAAATACAGGAATGGTTTGAGCGTTTGAAATAATTGGCACATTTGCCTGACAAGTGTTTGTCCATGTCTATCGCACGATTCACACCACTTTCAAATGGTCACACATCACACCACACAAGAAAGATATCAAGTGATACAATGTTATTTGCGAATGGACTGAAATACTTTGGAGAACCTTGTACATATCACCGTGCATCTAAAACAATGAAAAAGGGTACCGTATATTCTGTACTATGAGCCTGGACCCAAAATATATTTCTTTACTTTCAGCCCGGGGCCATATTGGAGGCCGGCTCTCAAATCTCGGATAAATTGAACTACGAGATACCGGAAGTGAAGGCACGACTTAGAGTCATTGGAGGCCCGGCTCTTATTTCAAAACCTTAACCCTTGACCAGCCCGTAATCATGCACAGCAATGGGTAAAAACGGTTAATGTGAAAAAATGCTGACTCAACAAAAAAGAAAGAAAACGATTTCCTACGATTTTCCCTGATCACCGGCGTACGTAACAACCTCTCGCACATAACATATCGCGGTCTTGAACACAACACCCCCTTCGTACATAATAACTTGGAACACTCCTGTACATATAACATGCCCTCTTGTACATAACATCTCGCCCTCTTGTACAAAACACCCCGCCCTCTTGTACATAACATCTTACCCTTTCCACATAACGCATGCAATGTAAGGTAAAAAAGGAGATTACCCTCAGGGTGGCGGTGATCAGGGGTAGGGCGAGGTCAAGTGTTTCATTCATCAACCCGATCTAAGGTCAACCCACGCTCCAACTGAATGAGCGGACATTTTAAACTGGCAGTAAAATGGTTGCTTGTTAAAATCGATTATCCAGCGTATGGTATCTCCATTTTATGATAAATATCATAATAAACTGGATAATCGAGGGTGCGAACAATGGTGATCAGATTACTATCTTACACAGTAGCAAGGTCAGGGGAAACACATCTTCGTTTATCCAGTCCTAATGCCATTCTAGTATGATAAATACCCTGAAACCATACCATAGTTTCGTATTGAGACCGCTTTGAATGAAGCGAATTCGACGCTAAAAAAGCTGAAAATCAAAACTGCATATGACGGAAGTGACGTCTTATTCCAATTCGAGGCTGTGGTAGAAAACGGGTCCAGGGTATTTATTACAGTAGCAGGTATGTAATAGAGTGGATAATATAGCATGACTACTACATAAAATATTGCGAAGATACATATTGATATCTAGAGTGAGTGAGTATGGTTTTACGCCGCTTTTAGCAATATTCCAGCAATATCACGGCGGGGGACACCAGAAATGGGCTTCACACATTGTGCCCATGTCGGGAATCGAACCCGGGTCTTCGGCGTGACGAGCGAACGCTTTAACCACTAGGCTACCCGACCGCCCCTATTGATATCTAGAGGTTGTATTGAACACTACAGCTAAACACTCCTGACAGAGTCTAAACGGGCGTCAATTTTATGCATAGCAAAACATTTCGGGATAGATGATTATACTTTTACTATTCAAAAGAAGTAAAGGAACACCCAAATTTTTCATGTGACAATAGTCAACCTGTGGGTACTCCAACACGGCCTTCCAAATGTGGTGTTCCTTAACTTCTTTTGAGTACTACATGTATACATCAATAAGGAAAACTGCATCTATGTCATGAACAACATCTGCTAAATTCTGTTCAAAGACCTAACAAAGTCTACCAAGGCCAGGCCAAATTATTTTATATTTTAAGGCAAAATAAAAATATGAAAAATGTTGTCTCCGCTGATTTGAGATGGTTTCCCTTTTCAGTTTTTACAAACATACAAACAAGGAGAAGCAAAAGCGTATGTTGTAGTTTTAAAACGGCACGGGCTCACATAACAAGCAATGAATTGGCCTGGCTTATAATCTCGGTTACATGTGCACATGCTACAAATGAGAAGGTTTATACACTGCGGTGACAGTAAATGGCTTGAGTTCTACTTGAGAATCTGCTCACACGACAATATGGATAAAGGTTGTCCCCGTCAGGTAGATTGTAATTAGAAAAAAAATAGAATAAAAAAAGCAGGAATGGTGTGCATCTACGAATACATGAGTGAAAATGAATTTGATATGAACAAAATGATATTTGACTAGCTTCGTTAATCCGGAGCTGGATTAACAGGTTCCTCTGTATATAAAACTCTTTGAAAAAGAAACTGTAACTTAAATCTAATTATTGCACTTGTGGCACATTCCTGGAGTGTTTGAAGTTATGTGGATTAAAAACAATCGTGTATTAGCGGTAGGGAGAATTAACACTGACAACCAACAATCATGATTAATACCGTACCAGTGAGTGTACTGGATGTGCGTGAGAACATTGCTCGAGTATTGCGCCAGAAAAGGGTTGCCAAAGTAGACGTCTTCAGTGTGTGTGAAGGCGAACAAGTACCTGTGTGACGGCTGTGACCGAAACGCTTTCATTACAGTGTGTGAGTTAGTGAGTTTGGTTTTTGAACAGTATTTTGAATATAACGGTTATATGTATGTGTGAGTTTGTGTTAAGTCACTGATGTAAGACTCATTCATATTTCACTGAGAGGAGGTCTGAGGTCTGAGAGGTCTGATTTGCAGAAAATGTTACTTACTGCAGAATTGCAGAAAAATCGCGGAATTTATTTTATCAATCCAAACACTACTTTTCATTATTATCAATCTTTTCTATCGAATTCTGCACTCGAATTCTGCCCAAACATTCAAACATACAAAATATGAATCCTACATTAAAACTTAATTTCAAACTCAAACGTTCTTGTGGTATTAATATGACTACCTAAAGTTGATATGTTAAACCAAACCCGAAATGCCTAAATGCAAGAGACTATTTTTTTTAAATTGTTTTGGGGTGGGGTGGGGGGGATGGGGGGATGTGTGTGTGTGTGTGTGGGTAGGGGGGGATTGTTGTGGACTTACCACAGACTTTTGGTACTTCTACCCCAACATTCGTCTGTGTTCATGTCAGTCACAGTTTATTGTCTAATGATTGACATTTGGATTTGGAAATAAACAGATTAAATATCACAACTAAAGGAAAACAATGACGTCAGTAAACTGTGTCAAACCAGAACACGAAGAAAACCTATAACGGCGGTTATTTTTCATAAGATAAGTTTATCCCAATCTGTCTCCATAATAATAAAAGTGATCTTCAGATGTGGGTGATCATTGCTGGGTTCTTTATCCAAGTGGGTGTGACACTGAGGGCTTTTGAGTAGCAGATTTGATTGGACATGGGTCACTTGGTGGAGACAAGGGGAGGTAACTGAGACATGTCACCATGGCAACAACAAAAATGGCAACATGTACAACTCATTACAAAAACTGATACATGAAACTTTGTGACCCTGAATGTATATCATACAAAACAAGTAAACTACATGATCTCAGTGGCTACTTCAAGAAACAGCATGTGAAGGCCTTTACTAACCTGAACTAGTGACTGAACATTAAACACTTGTTAAAATGTATAGCCTTGGAGGAATGGTATTGTGCCATGGTTTGGTATGAGGTCTTTCATTATTGTCAGTTATGAGACAATGCGTCGTGGCGTCATTTTAAGTGCATGGCACGTACACTGCTAAACGCCATATCCTATAAAACGATTTACCCGTATTTCTTACAGATGGATACAAAAAGCACTTACACGATCAGGCGTACGAGGCCAAGGAGGTATCAGCATCAAGACATTTGAGACCATTTATCACTCTATGATGCACCCATAAATCTGAGTATGGATATATGTAAATGCGTGTCTCAGCATCAACCTTTAAATCACTTTTTAAACTTGTTCAAAATGTACCAATCACAACTACTGCAACAATGATTCATGACATATGATTGTGTTCTCACATGCTGTTCCCTGGTTGGCTATTGTTGGTAACTAATTCGAACTACACTCACTACAAGTTCCCAGTACCCTTGATCAGTTCTGTACATTGCCAGGCCAGGCCAGATGCCCACAGTGGGCGGAGCTCGAGCCTTGGCAAGCTTCTGCACTGTCAGTATGTGACACATTGATTCATGACACTTGGTGTCTCAGCGGGAAACACCTGGCAGGATGGGCCCCGAGGGTGTCCGGATCTGAGAGAGAGCAAACAGAAGTTGTTCTTTCTCCACTGTCAGGGAGTCAAATTCCGCCTGGAGTTTGGCATTGGCGTTTGTCAGGCGGTCAACCTCCTGCAAATACAGAAAAACAATTTAACATGCAGCTAAATACTTGAAGATTATTTTCATACACATACTGTAACAACTATATGTAAACATCTCAGGCGCAAGGAAGCAACGCAAAAAATAATTATCTCTTTTTATATAAAATTGGTAGCATGTTGGTTTGGGTTTATTTATTCTCATAGTGTCTTGTTTAATACGACATAATATGGTACTTGAGAACTGTAATTTGACAACAGAGCAACAATGCGGCCCCTTACCACTTCGAGGCTGCTTGATTCCACCTTCCGCTTCCGCCGGAAGCGCTGAGCCGCAAGGCGGTTTCGTTCTTTCCGGTGGGTTGCCCTCTGTTCTTCCTCTGGCGTGAGCTTAAATAAGAGATGTACATGAGACACAATGCAACTAGCAACCAAGTGAAATGTCACATCAGACACAATGCAACTACCAACCACATGTAAGGTCACATCAGACACAATACAACAACCAACCACGTGTGAGGTCACATCAGACACAATACAACTACAACCACGTGTAAGGTCACATCAGACACAATACAACTACCAACCACGTGTAAGGTCACATCAGACGCAATACAACTACCTACCACCTGTGAGGTCACATCAGACACAATACAACTACCAACAACATGTAAGGTCACATCAGACACAATACAACTACAACCACGTGTGAGGTCACATCAGACACAATACAACTACCTACCACGTATGAGGTCACATCAGACACAATACAACTACCTACCACATGTAAGGTCACATCAGACACAGTACAACAACCTACCACGTGTAAGGTCACATCAGACACAATACAACAACCTACCACGTGTAAGGTCACATCAGACACAATACAACAACCTACCACCTGTGAGGTCACATCAGACACAATACAACAGCCAACCACGTGTAAGGTCACATCAGACACAATACAACAACCTACCACGTGTAAGGTCACATCAGACACAATACAACAACCAACCACATGTAAGGTCACATCAGACACAATACAACAACCAACCACGTGTAAGGTTACATCAGACACAATACAACAACTTACCACATGTGAGGTCACATCAGACACAATACAACTACAACCACGTGTAAGGTCACACCAGACACAATGCAACAACCTACCACATGTAAGGTCACATCAGACACAATGCAACTACCTACCACATGTAATGTCACACCAGACACAATACAACTACCAACAACATGTGAGGTCACATCAGACACAATGCTACAACCTACCACATGTAAGGTCACATCAGACACAATGCAACTACCTACCACATGTAATGTCACACCAGACACAATGCAACTACCTACCACGTGTAATGTCACACAAGACACAATACAACAACCAACCACATGTGAGGTCACACCAGACACAATGCAACAATCTACCACATGTGAGGTCACATCAGACACAATGCAACAACCTACCACGTGTAATGTCACATCAGGCACAATACAACTACCAACCACGTGTAAGGTCACATCAGATACAATACAACTAGGCCACGTGTAAGGTCACATCAGACACAATGCAACTACCAACCACATGTGAGGTCACACCAGACACAATGCAACAATCTACCACATGTGAGGTCACATCGACACAATGTAACAACCTACCACGTGAAATGTCACATCAGGCACAATACAACTACCAACCACGTGTAAGGTCACATCAGACACAATACAACTACCAACCACGTGTAAGGTCACATCAGACACAATACAACAGCCAACCACGTGTAAGGTCACATCAGACACAATACAACAACCTACCACGTGTAAGGTCACATCAGACACAATACAACAACCTACCACCTGTGAGGTCACATCAGACACAATACAACAGCCAACCACGTGTAAGGTCACATCAGACACAATACAACAACCTACCACGTGTAAGGTCACATCAGACACAATACAACAACCAACCACATGTAAGGTCACATCAGACACAATACAACAACCAACCACGTGTAAGGTTACATCAGACACAATACAACAACTTACCACATGTGAGGTCACATCAGACACAATACAACTACAACCACGTGTAAGGTCACACCAGACACAATGCAACAACCTACCACATGTAAGGTCACATCAGACACAATGCAACTACCTACCACATGTAATGTCACACCAGACACAATACAACTACCAACAACATGTGAGGTCACATCAGACACAATGCTACAACCTACCACATGTAAGGTCACATCAGACACAATGCAACTACCTACCACATGTAATGTCACACCAGACACAATGCAACTACCTACCACGTGTCATGTCACACAAGACACAATACAACAACCAACCACATGTGAGGTCACACCAGACACAATGCAACAATCTACCACATGTGAGGTCACATCAGACACAATGCAACAACCTACCACGTGTAATGTCACATCAGGCACAATACAACTACCAACCACGTGTAAGGTCACATCAGATACAATACAACTAGGCCACGTGTAAGGTCACATCAGACACAATGCAACTACCAACCACATGTGAGGTCACACCAGACACAATGCAACAATCTACCACATGTGAGGTCACATCAGACACAATGTAACAACCTACCACGTGAAATGTCACATCAGGCACAATACAACTACCAACCACGTGTAAGGTCACATCAGACACAATACAACAACCAACCACGTGTAAGGTCACATCAGACACAATACAACAGCCAACCACGTGTATGGTCACATCAGACACTATACAACAACCTGCCACGTGTAAGGTCACATCAGACACAATACAACAGCCAACCACGTGTAAGGTCACATCAGACACAAAACAACAACCTACCACGTGTAAGGTCACATCAGACACAATACAACAACCAACCACATGTAAGGTCTCATCAGACACAATACAACAACCTACCACCTGTGAGGTCACATCAGACACAATACAACAACCTACCACCTGTAAGGTCACATCAGACACAATACAACAACCAACCACATGTAAGGTCACATCAGACACAATACAACAGCCAACCACGTGTAAGGTCACATCAGACACAATACAACAACCTACCACGTGTAATGTCACATCAGGCACAATACAACTACCAACCACGTGTAAGGTCACATCAGACACAATACAACTACCTACCACGTGTAAGGTCACATCAGACACAATACAACTACCTACCACGTGTAAGGTCACATCAGACACAATACAACAACCTACCTCCTGTGAGGTCACATCAGACACAATACAACAACCAACCACATGTAAGGTCACATCAGACACAATACAACAACCAACCACGTGTAAGGTTACATCAGACACAATACAACAACTTACCACATGTGAGGTCACATCAGACACAATACAACTACAACCACGTGTAAGGTCACACCAGACACAATGCAACAACCTACCACATGTAAGGTCACATCAGACACAATGCAACTACCTACCACATGTAATGTCACACCAGACACAATACAACTACCTACCACATGTGAGGTCACATCAGACACAATGCTACAACCTACCACATGTAAGGTCACATCAGACACAATGCAACTACCTACCACATGTAACGTCACACCAGACACAATACAACTACCAACAACATGTGAGGTCACATCAGACATAATGCTACAACCTACCACATGTAAGGTCACATCAGACACAATGCAACTACCTACCACATGTAATGTCACACCAGACACAATACAACTACCAACAACATGTGAGGTCACATCAGACATAATGCTACAACCTACCACATGTAAGGTCACAGACACAATGCAACTACCTACCACATGTGAGGTCACATCAGACACAATGCAACAACCAACCACGTGTAAGGTCACATCAGACACAATACAACTACCTACCACGTGTAAGGTCACATCAGACACAATACAACAACCTACCACGTGTAAGGTCACATCAGACACAATACAACAACCTACCACGTGTAATGTCACATCAGGCACAATACAACTACCAACCACGTGTAAGGTCACATCAGACACAACACAACTACCTACCACGTGTAAGGTCACATCAGACACAATACAACAACCTACCTCCTGTGAGGTCACATCAGACACAATACAACAACCAACCACATGTAAGGTCACATCAGACACAATACAACAACCAAACACGTGTAAGGTTACATCAGACACAATACAACAACTTACCACATGTGAGGTCACATCAGACACAATACAACAACTAACCACATGTGAGGTCACATCAGACACAATACAACTACAACCACGTGTAAGGTCACACCAGACACAATGCAACAACCTACCACATGTAAGGTCACATCAGACACAATGCAACTACCTACCACATGTAATGTCACACCAGACACAATACAACTACCTACCACATGTTAGGTCACATCAGACACAATGCTACAACCTACCACATGTAAGGTCACATCAGACACAATGCAACTACCTACCACATGTAATGTCACACCAGACACAATACAATTACCAACAACATGTGAGGTCACATCAGACACAATGCTACAACCTACCACATGTAAGGTCACATCAGACACAATGCAACTACCTACCACATGTAATGTCACACCAGACACAATGCAACTACCTACCACGTGTAATGTCACACCAGACACAATACAACAACCTACCACATGTGAGGTCACACCAGACACAATGCAACAATCTACCACATGTGAGGTCACATCAGACACAATGCAACAACCAACCACGTGTAAGGTCACATCAGACACAATACAACTACCAACCACGTGTAATGTCACATCAGGCACAATACAACTACCAACCACGTGTAAGGTCACATCAGACACAGTACAACTACCAACCACGTGTAAGGTCACATCAGACACAATGCAACTACCTACCACGTGTGAGGTCACATCAGACACAATACAACTACCAACCACATGTGAGGTCACATCGGACACAATACAACTACCAACCACGTGTGAGGTCACATCAGTTATAATACAACTACCAACCACGTGTAAGGTCACATCGGACACAATACAACTACAACCACGTGTAAGGTCACACCAGACACAATACAACTACCAACCACGTGTAAGGTCACATCAGACACAATGCAACTACCTACCACATGTGAGATCACATCAGACACAATACAACTACCAACCAAATGTAAGGTCACACCAGACACAATACAACTACCAACCACGTGTAAGGTCACATCAGACACAATACAACAACCTACCACATGTGAGGTCACATCGGACACAATACAACTACCAACCACGTGTGAGGTCACATCAGTTATAATACAACTACCAACCACGTGTAAGGTCACATCAGACACAATGCAACTACAACCACGTGTAAGGTCACACCAGACACAATACAACTACCAACCACGTGTAAGGTCACATCAGACACAATGCAACTACCTACCACATGTGAGGTCACATCAGACACAATACAACTACCAACCAAATGTAAGGTCACACCAGACACAATACAACTACCAACCACGTGTAAGGTCACATCAGACACAATACAACAACCTACCACGTGTAAGGTCACATCAGACACAATACAACTACAAACATGTGTGAGGTCACACCAGACACAATACAACTACCAACCACGTGTAAGGTCACATCAGACACAATGCAACTACAACCACGTGTAAGGTCACACCAGACACAATACAACTACCAACCACGTGTAAGGTCACATCAGACACAATACAACTACCTACCACATGTGAGGTCACATCAGACACAATACAACTACCAACAACATGTAAGGTCACATCAGACACAATACAACTACAACCACGTGTGAGGTCACATCAGACACAATACAACTACCTACCACGTGTGAGGTCACATCAGACACAATACAACTACCAACAACATGTATATTGTCACAAACTGGCAGGCAATTATATCATAATTAAACGAATTACACACAGAATAGTTTGAACATCACAAACGAATCCCAATGACATAAAAAAACCACCGAAAAATAATACATTTGTGAGGAAGAGAATACATGGATGTCAACTTCTTTATTATGAGGAACACAACGTTTCGGAGTATATGCTTACTCCTTTATCAGGTGAATGAATGCCATGAGGCAGAGAGCATATATATGTACATGTAAGGATAACAAACTTTTGTAATACATTTGTGTTTTTGAAAAACACGATGTGTATCTTGATGATATGTGAGCTAGGAGCAAGAGTGTTCATATGTGTTGAACCTGACGTAGCCAATACCTGTTTCATTTATGACATCATTCACACCAGTAACCTCTCCGCCGGGGTGTGTGCGGGGTATATATAATATGTGTGTGTGTGTGTGTGTGTGTGTGTGTGTGTGTGTGTGTGTGTGTGTGTGTGTGTGTGTGTGTGTGTGTGTGTGTGTGTGAAGAGTATAGTCCCATTGACCCATTGAATCATCACACATTTGCAGTAAATCCTCTGTATAAAAGTAGATTTGGAGAGGTCTGAGCATGCAGTCTCCACGGGTCTGAGATATAAACACTGAAATTGGACAATATTCTGGTGGTGCTGAACTGTACAGTTCAACCCTCCACATTATTTATAGTGATGCGACATTGTGGAACTGCAAAATGATTAACTTTCCTTCGACTTTTGATCGAACAACATCAAATCCTATACCTAGATGTATGTTGCTCAGACATAAAATCAGTTCCATGTCATTTCGTTGTCTGTCACCTTGAATCATATTATTGTCCCTCCAGCCCAGGTCTTACTATAATGTTTTTACCATACACGAAGCAAGTCTAGATTTCCCACTGGTTCTGAATCTCCTATCCCACACAATTTAAAAGAAACTGCTTGTTTCTATCAAAATTATATATTTTCAGACACTAAGTAATTTCGTACAGCCTTGTGTGAATTTGACTCGTGTCTTATTCAGGCTATGGTGGCTCTCGTGCAGGAGCCAAGCTTTGGCTCATTACCAAGTGGCAATAGACAGCGACAGATAGCGGGTCATGTGACCTGTAGAAAATTCAGGGCGGGGCTTTGTGACCCGTCGGACCAATGCCTGCAGAGGGCAAGAAATGCGGGCGATGTCCATCACCAAACACAAGAATCAGGGATCACATCAAGACAATGAGAATTTCATCTTTGACAAACTTACATTGTCACATTTATAAGTTATATCAATATTAAACAGTGACAACTACTTGGTACATGCAGTTTACCAAGGATCACACAAATATTCGTTTCGTATAATTTCTATACAAACAGTACGCGTGAAACATATTCTGATATCATATATATACACGAATATATTTTCAATGGACGTCAACCATCTATTTCTGTCTGCGGGAACCTTCCCGGCGTGTGCCAAAATCATGATTCGTTTAGATTTGGAATCAAATTTTGAATTATTTAGAGATTCTGTGACACTTTATAATTGCATATTGTCCTTTTTAAATTAAAACGAAATTAAATACTACCATTAATATGAATAATTCATGTAAATATAACAAGTAGTTTAACCTTCTGTACCCATGACTACATGCACGCCATGGACTGCTTCTGACCCAGGCTTTCTGGGCTGTTCATGCTGAGAATCTCTCGCCGCCATATTTGCGAATTATATTCGGACAACATCAAATCCACAACTGTTGCGTATTCGCAACTGCCGCAATCTTTACAAATCTGCATCATGTCTGTTCTTATATCTTTTAATTTGGTACTAAAATGACAAACGGCACAAGCAGGAAACAAGGTGATGCAATACGTTATTCCTCAAAGAAACACGACATATCACATGATTTTTAAAAGTGTACCATTATATAAAACTAGCTCACTTTCTTGTTCGCTTATTCACATATATATATATATATATATTTATTTATATATATATATTAAAAAAATATGTGTGTGTGTGTGTGTGTGTGTGTGTGTGTGTGTGTGTGTGTTAAGAGTATAGTCCCATTGACCCATTGAATCATCACACATTTGTATATAAACATATGCTTATAAAATGATAATTATTCTAAAGTCGGTTTCGCGGTAAATCCTCTGTATAAAAGTAGATTTGGCCAGTGAATGGCGAGGTCTGAGCATGCAGTCTCCACGGGCCTGAGATATAAACACTAAAATTGGACAATATTTTGGTGGTGCTGAACTTTGCTGAACTGCACAGTTCACCCCTCCCAGTATTTATAGTGACGCGACATTGTGGAACTGCAAAATGATTAACTTTCCTTCGACCTTTGATATATATATATATATATATATATATATATATATATATATATATATATATATGTATGTGTGTGTGTGTGTGTGTGTGTGTGTGTGTGTGTGTATTTATATATATATATCATGCTTACATTACGTTGGAGGGCTGATGTTTTTTTATAACAGAGAGTCCATATACCGTATATGGTTTCTGTATAACGATATGGTTAATGTATTTAAGAAAAAAATACTGTTTTATGCATTTACTCGATCTAAAATACATCATAAAACATATGAGGGCTACTTGTTGTGCAGATAATGTTATTTGATTTGTGTGTGATGTTAGATTTAGGTTAGATGTGGTGTGTTTTTTTGTTAGTGATTTATATTTCATTAAGCGTCTGTTGCAATATATACATAAAAAGGTAAAACACGTGTTTTGCACTTTGTTGTCAAAGCAGTAAAAACATCAATGTCAGTCATCTGCAAAGATGGTTAAGGCGGCAATGTACATTATTTGCATCAATGCAGTGATACATCCACGTTTCATCGATAGGATCGTTGAAGTGAGAGGCATGACTACCCTAGTGCTAAGTGTAAGCTGCATCCTGAGATGCACCACTTTGAATCTAATATTCTTTCCATGTGGGTATGTACATTCAATGTTAGCGTTGTTATTACAAAACAATCAACAAACAAGATCGTAAGAACATTAACTGCACCGCAATTAGGAACGACGAGGAAGTTATTATAAACACATTTCACAACTTAAAACAAAGTATTGGATATAAACATACATGCATACAAGTAAAACAAGGACTTAAATTCCAAGTGTCTACATTATTCATTCACTATGATATATTTGCAACAATTCAATATACTAATGCATATTTTAATTAAACAATAAATGACAGAATCGTGATGAATATAAACTGCTTGGCAAAAGAAAGCATACACTTTAAAATTGGATTTGCAAATGTTATGAAAATGTTACTGAGTGAAAACAGTCGCCGCAACACTGCAATATTTAGGTCCAAATCACGACCAAGATACCCGGATCGAATACATCACCATCGATTAATAATTTCTTAATTGTTTTATTGTTTCATAAAACATGGTTGTATACTTTCTTTTTTCCTGCAGTTTAAATGTAATGACGTATTCAAAGAGCGATCACAAAACTATTATGAAAAGTTTACTAACTTCGCAGTGTGTTCTCTGATGCATGCATGCATCCCGGTTCACATATATAAAAGATCAAACACGTCCCCAAACGCTGTAAATTAGCAAATGTCATATGATGCAATGATGCATGCAGAAAAAAAATAAATCACGTCTCATCTCAATGTACATTGTGTTCTGTATTTACATGAAACTGGGCATATAACCACATAATCAGTCATGTGATATCAAGAAGAAGGCTACAAATGCCGTTTTATGAAATAAAATACTTTAATGCACACCGAGAAAGTCTGAAAATAGTGTCATGAATATTTATGAGAGGACCAGACTACCCAGGAGCCTTGCCTCACCACGTGACTTCACCAACGCAAGTCTTGGACACATTCCAAACGAAAAATTGAATAATGAAATAAAAATGTATCAAAAACTCACCAAATAGGATTTGGGTTTCTTAAACTCCACATTGTACTCCTCCTGTCCTAGACTGTGTCGTCGCGCTTGTATCTTACACTTTAACTCCTCCTTGATGAGGGGGGTGAGGCGGCCAGTCTCCAGGACCTGCAGGGTGGCTTTGGCGAGTCTGTCGTCGATTTTGGGGGGTAATGGTGGCGCGGAAACCTCTTCGAAGGGGGATATCATCCCTTGACCCTCGAAGTCTACACACGCGTCCTCGGCTTTCAGTATAGAGAACCCTTTTTGCATGATGCTGTGGAAAACATAAGTGAAACATTGGGAAACGGGGCTAGCCATTCGGGCGATATTCTTAAAAACAAATCATATTCGTGAGAATTGTTGCGTTTTTGACATATGAAGGATACGGGGTTTTTTAAGTAACTGTTTTTTAATTTAAAATCCGATTTTGTTTTAAAGAAGATGTTTTTATATATGACTTAAGCGTGTAATCAAGATGATTATCTGCATCGTCTAAAACATGACAATACATTACAAATGTTAAACGAGCAAATACGCAGAGAACAAGTTGTTATTTATTAATAGACGCACATCACTGACTGTCAGACAGGCTTGATGAAATAAAAAAACTTAATAATTCGGTGATAGTTTAATAGGATGCTAAACGTACTGCTAAAACCAATACAATTGCAAACCAAAGGCGATCTGATAACGGGAGTTGGGTGTTAGCTGTAATTATTCAGTTATAAATAAACACGAGCGGCTATGCAGCATTGGTGAATCAAACATGGCGACTTCGCCGACATTTCCACATTTTTTTCGTCTCCAAGTCGGAAACACGTGGATCGAACATCGCTAGACACTTAATGAACAGACACTGCTGGAATTAAAACTCATCTCAGAACCCGCTGGAAGTAGCCCGTGCTATTTAAAAAGCACGTGGCGTTAATCGATAAGTCATAATTATTTATAGAAATCAAAATCACACGTTTTACCATTAACAACTCTGAAATCAGCACTGGTTTGATACCGTGTCACAATGAGGTGTCAATTAAGCTGCATATATGCTAGTTAAATACCGACATCCATTGACACGGGGATTTAAATCCTCTCAGCACATCACATGTTCGCCTAGCCGTTGTTGACAAACAAACGTCACGAAAGCTGTCAAGTAATTTAAGCAAGTTACATCTGCAGCATTATCAGTACAGATTAATGTCATAAACATGGATTAATGTCAACATTACCTGTTTAATGTATATATGGTTAAAAACAAGCGAACGGCGATTTTCACTTCTTTCCTGAACGGCGACACAACTTCAAATGCCGACACACTGTATTGCTGGGCTTTGTACGAGGCAGGGCATGTTCAGGCTTGTCTCGATAGTTCGCGTACCGAGCGAGAAGGGAGATAATCACTACCACAATTTTGTCGCAGTCATCAAGATTTGTTACTAAATTTAGCTCATTTGGGGAATTCCCCCGAACCAAAATGGTCGCTCGGTCACGGCCAAAGTTTCAATTTTGCTTAATCACGGCTTCCGGAATGCAGTATTTTTCGTTTGACGACACTGTTTTATTCTGAAACTTATAATTGAATATGTATGTGGACATTTACTTTAAATAATAATTGATAGGAGAAGTTTTTAAGAGAAGATAGGTCATGACCTGACCGCTTTCATTGACTCGTGACACAGTTAACGAAAACGTAGGAACAACGTTTTGAAGTCTCGTCAAACCTCGTTCACGGAGTGCGTTATCCCCCGAGGCAAGAGTGATGTAAAAACCTCCAGCGTGGAGGTTGCAGTACGCATGTCCAAGAAAGTAGCCGACTACCGGCCAACTGATGGGGGCTGGGGACAAGCTACTTACGCTCGTCTAGACATTACTCTCTGATTGTTCTCACATATATGAAATAATACACACACGTTGAAAAACGTAACACGCGATGCTGACAAATATTTTAAAACAGTAACACATGAGAAATGTATTCTTTATAAAATCTAATAATATATGCTTTAACATAAATTTATTTGGATGGTTTTGTTTTTTATACTAAATTTTCAAATACCTTTCCTAAAATACGAACATGTAAAATCATTTTATTAACAAGTCGTACTAACCACATTTAACATGTTTAATGATGAGCTATAGTTATGAGTGAGTGAGTGAGTTTGGTTTTACGCCGCTTTTAGCAATATTCCAGCAATATCACGGCGGGGGTCACCAGAAATGGGCTTCACACATTGTACCCATGTCAGGATTCGAAGCTATAGTTATGAGCAAGTAACTTATTAACACAGATCTAATCATACTAAAAAATATATATTTTTTTTATTTACATTCAACCTGTAATTGTATTATTTGAATAGTCACTCTAGTGTTTGTCTTATAGCAGTGTCTGATCACCCATGCACGTGAAAGTGTATTAATAGCTTCCCCAGCTACTACAAAAGGGGGGAGGGTCGAAGTCTGCATGATGAACTGACGGGCAAAAGAATCAATACCTCTCACTTGATTTTATCATATGTTTTCAATTGAAAATATTTTAGCGATATCATATCTCAAAAATAAACTCTACTGGCGCTTTGTAAGCACTCAAAGAATCGTTCAACTTTATTCTTTTAAATTTATTTTCTTTTATAACTTTCTTTGAAAACAACAAATAGGAAAATCTCGAATAATACACAACTGCTGATATGTATCTGAGACATCTTATCTTTGACAATCAATATATTTGCCTTTTTCGGCTCAAACTTCCAACATTTTAAACATGGTAGGGGGCATGTGGCTGCAGTTTCATTTCGTACCCCAGTCTTAATTAAACCAATTTATTTTTACTCAAAAGTACCCAGCCACAGATTAGATCTTATAAGCTGTAGCAGGAGTGAGTGATGATCAAATGTAACAACTGTTCGGATTTTCAGTTACCTCAATAACAAACTCGATATACTTTCTTTAGCCCCTCTGTTTATTTCGGAGTTTCAGTCCCCATGAAAGGAGAACAATAATATGTGTCCCCACTCCTCAATGTATATCCTTCACTCTGCTCAAAATTACATGTAGGTGACTGGTATACACACAGGGGAGGGTACGTCACGCCTCATGGTGCTGTGTAGTACACACAGGGGAGGGGACGTCACGCCTCATGGGGATGTGGTATACACAGTTTGGAAGGTACGTCACGCCTCATGGTGCTGTGTAGTTCACACAGGGAAGGGTACGTCATGCCTTATGGTGCTGTGGTGAACACACAGGGGAGGGGACGTCACGCCTCATGGGTGTGTGGTATACACAGTTTGAAAGGGACGTCACGCCTCTTGGGGATGTGGTATACACACAGGGGAGGGGACGTCACGCCTCATGGGGGTGTGGTATACACAGTTTGGAAGGTACGTCATGCCTCTTGGGGATGTGGTATACAAACAGGGGAGGGGACGTCACGCCTCATGGTGCTGTGTAGTACACACAGGGGAGGGGACGTAACGCCTCATGGGAATGTGGTGTACATACAGGGGAGGGTACGTCACGCCTCTTGGGGATGTGGTATACACACAGGGGAGGGGACGTCACGCCTCATGGGGATGTGGTATACACAGTTCAGAAGGTACGTCTCACCTTACGGGACTGTGGTGTACACACAGGGGAAAGTACGTCATCCCTTATCATTGTGGTGTACATAGTTTTGAAGGTACGTCACGATTCACGGGTGTGTGGTGTTCACACAGAGAAAATAACGTCACGTCTCATGGGCTGTTTTGTACACAAAGGGAAGGATACGTTACGCCTCACGGGACTGTGGTGTACACACAGGGAAGGGAACGTCACGCCTCAATGGGATGGGATGCACACAGGGAAGAGTACGTCACGCCTCACGGGGCTGTGGTGTACACACAGGGGAACGTACGTCACGCCACACGGGGCTGTGGTGTACACACAGGGGAATGTACGTCACGCCACACGGGGCTGTGGTGTACACACAGGGGAATGTACGTCACGCCACACGGGGCTGTGGTGTACACACAGGGGAATGTACGTTACGCCTCAAGGGACTGTGGTGTACACAGAGGGGAGGGTACGTCACACGTCATGGGGCTGTGTGGAGTACACGGAGAGAGATACGTCACGTCTCACTGGGCTGTGGTGAACACACAGGGGAATGTACCTCACGCCTCACGGGGCTGTGGTGTACACAGAGGGGAGGGTACGTCACACGTCATGGGGCTGTGTGGAGTACACGGAGAGAGATACGTCACGTCTCATGGGGCTGTGTTGTACACAGGGGAATGTACCTCACGCCTCACGGGGCTGTGGTGTACACAGAGGGGAGGGTACGTCACGCCTCACGGGGCTGTGTGGTGTACACACAGGCAATGTACGTCACGCCTCACGGGGCTGTGTGGTGTACACACAGGCAATGTACGTCACGCCTCACGGGGCTGTGTGGTGTACACACAGGGAAGGGTACGTTACGCCTCACGGGGCTGTGGTTTACACACAGGGGAATGTACGTCACGCCACACGGGGCTGTGGTGTACACACAGGGGAATGTACGTCACGCCACACGGGGCTGTGGTGTACACACAGGGGAATGTACGTCACGCCACACGGGGCTGTGGTGTACACACAGGGGAATGTACGTTACGCCTCAAGGGACTGTGGTGTACACAGAGGGGAGGGTACGTCACACGTCATGGGGCTGTGTGGAGTACACGGAGAGAGATACGTCACGTCTCATGGGGCTGTGTTGTACACAGGGGAATGTACCTCACGCCTCACGGGGCTGTGGTGTACACAGAGGGGAGGGTACGTCACGCCTCACGGGTCTGTGTGGTGTGCACACAGGCAATGTACGTCACGCCTCACTGGGCTGTGAGGTGTACACACAGGCAATGTACGTCACGCCTCACGGGGCTGTGTGGTGTACACACAGGCAATGTACGTCACGCCTCACGGGGCTGTGTGGTGTACACACAGGCAATGTACGTCACGCCTCACGGGGCTGTGTGGTGTACACACAGGCAATGTACGTCACGCCTCACGGGGCTGTGTGGTGTACACCAAGGGAAGGGTACGTTACGCCTCACCTGGCTGTGGTGTACACAGAGGGGAGGGTACGTCACACGTCATGGGGCTGTGTTGAGTACACGGAGAGAGATACGTCACGTCTCACTGGGCTGTGGTGAACACACAGGGGAATGTACCTCACGCCTCACGGGGCTGTGGTGTACACAGAGGGGAGGGTACGTCACACGTCATGGGGCTGTGTGGAGTACACGGAGAGAGATACGTCACGTCTCATGGGGCTGTGTTGTACACAGGGGAATGTACCTCACGCCTCACGGGGCTGTGGTGTACACAGAGGGGAGGGTACGTCACGCCTCACGGGGCTGTGTGGTGTACACACAGGCAATGTACGTCACGCCTCACTGGGCTGTGTGGTGTACACACAGGCAATGTACGTCACGCCTCACGGGGCTGTGTGGTGTACACACAGGGAAGGGTACGTTACGCCTCACGGGGCTGTGGTGTACACAGAGGGGAGGGTACGTCACACGTCATGGGGCTGTGTGGAGTACACGGAGAGAGATACGTCACGTCTCATGGGGCTGTGTTGTACACAGGGTAATGTACCTCACGCCTCACGGGGCTGTGGTGTACACAGAGGGGAGGGTACGTCACACGTCATGGGGCTGTGTGGAGTACACGGAGAGAGATACGTCACGCCCACGGGGCTGTGGTGTACACCCTATGGAGGAATGTCACGCCTCTCGAAGGTGTATTGTACACACGAAGCTTATCAGGTGATCTCCACCTGTCCCATGCGTTGTATTCCGTGTATTGTAGCAATTGTATCCTAGGGTATTTTGGTTCACACTCATTTAATACAATGTAATCTGCTACCTTAAAGGACATAAGTAAATCTAGGACGCCACGTTATCCTAGGGTGCACACACCACGGGTGGTGCCACCATGCACAACAAAGATCACTTAGTCACAGCACTGTGTAGGCGGCATATATGACTGACGTCAACGTGTACACTGAAATTCCAATCGAGTTGCAGTGGGCGGAAAATAGTCATCGCGCGAGTATACACTGATTTCATTACATAGCCAAAATACCCAACCACTAACTTTAATGCTCTAGGGTGGGCGAATAGTGCGTTTTACAGTTTAAATGACAATCCGTCACATATATCCTGTCGTTGATATTTTCATTCAGTGATCTGCATAGGAAATGTAATAATGTGAAATAAAATTCATCTTCTCATTTCTGTACTTTGATCATGGGTACGTGTAGTTCTCACTGTAACGAATAGTTGAGCCGATGCTGTTATTCTCTTTGTTTGTTTGTTTGTTTGTTTGTTGTTAACACCGCACTCA